TTGTTTAGTGGATGGGAGTGCATAAGATTCTTTTCCCTTAATAACAGGAGGCATTCATGCCCTGTTTATGCTGACGAGGGGTTATGGGCAGAAAAGGTTAGAAGTTTCATTGGGGGTCTCTGAAAAGTTTGGAAACCACTATAGTCTCATGTAAAGTTAGGATGTTTTGTGTTTTTAGTCTGCTGCCCCCTGACAAATTAGAAAAAAAAAACGTTACACTTTATATAAGAATGTGACATGCATACAAACAACACTTGTGGTCTATTAACATTTTGGACCACTGTCATTGGGGCCTCCCTCACACCATACCTCCCATCAGGACCTCAGAGGTTGTAAAGTCTTGTCCACTTTGTTTCTTCTTGAACCAGAAAGAACTGCAATCTCAATATTCTCGATTTTCTGAACCCCTACAGAGTAATTTAAGGGCTGGGAACAACCCCGATGGTGCAGTTCTTTATAATGTACTGATTATTTGACTTGTATTGTTATTTTATCGTTTCCCCTCTTGTTCTATAAAGCTTTTTGAGTTGCCTTTATTGTGCTTCACAAATGGACTTTCCTATAGGCTTATAGTGTGCATCCATCATATCCTTCAACCACCTGAGGACCAGGAGTGTGGGGCGCAAACGTCAAGTTACACAACCACAACTTAGTCAGAAACCTGAGGATCCCTGTCAGCAAATAGAGAGGCACTCTACTCTTTTGGCTTTCTGACCTGCTCCATGGGCCCCACATCACGGCAGGACCAGAGGTTAATTTTCACTTACTTCCACAACATTCCAGGCTGTTCAGAGGGAGATGGGGAATTCACCTGGAAAACAACATCTGTGAGTTTGTCCTGATGCGGCTCTCTGGTGTGGGCCGAGTGCAGCAAGAGACCCTCCAGGAGACACTCCAGTCTGTCAGAAGAGGCCACGCTGCAGCAAGTGTTTGCAGAAAGAAAAATCTTCATGTACAGTACCACATGTATTGTACCCACGGGTGTCAAGGTGAATTTGGTTAGTGGCCACTATAAAGAGACTGTTGTTTGATGTTAATGAAAAGAAAAACCTATTTTTTGATCATCTTTTGAATCTTATTATTTTTACATTCATTTCTACATTGTTTACTCAGGTACTCTGAAAAATTGTTTAATATTTACTTCACTTTTAGATATTCTGGAACAGGATGAGTACACACTGCGATACTGGACCAAAAGGCTGTTTATTTGCAGATAGATACAACCATCTGTTAACTGCATTATGGATTCTATGTTAATATTAAGCGCTATTGTTTTCTTGAGAGAAAACGCTTTAAAATGGGGAATAATATGTCATGGTTTTCAAATGAATAAAACTACCCCTATACTCTTGCAGACACCTGTGGGCAGCACTTATCTACTGATGTCAAGTGCATATTTTGTCAACATTTTTGACCCAAGGACAGAAAGGTTTTTGTTTTGTTTTATATTTTGTTACTGTACTTTTTAACAGCTTAGAGACATATCAGCAATTTGTTTTAAGACACGACTTGTACTACAACCAAGTATAAAACATATTTACAGTGCGCAGACTTAATCTCCACAAACCTGACTCTTGCTTGACCTGGAACAGTATCTTCCATTTTTTTTTTTTCCTGGAATTATTCCTTCGGCTACAATAGACCACCGTACAATATCAAATCTTACTCAGTGGAGAGAGTTCAGAAGAAGTTCAGGTAAATCCTCCATTTAGAATTACACATGATCAACCACCAACCATTTAGACATACTGGTGCTACACATTATAAAATGAGCCAAGACAGTTGATAAGGGGCTTTATTCATTGAATTTATTAAGATGCTACATAGTCCAACCAGGCCGTTGGGTTGTTTTTATACACCAGAGACTACTTGACTAGGAATATTCATCTTCTTTCAGATAGACTCATTTATTTATTTATTTATATACATACAAAACAGGTTATCTTCCCACTGCTTTGACACTGGTCACGGTGATGGTCAGAGACACAGCGAGAATTATACATCCAGCTTGAAACCATACTATTAGCAAATTATTATACATATTGTTATCATTGCAATCTGCGTGTGAATATCAAATATGCTAGGGTCGGCTGAAGCATGGGAGGAGAGCATGGGGATTCTATGAAAATTCTAATTAACTGCATATTTGTGGTAATTTAAGTGTGTAAAAGTATGTGCAGGTTTGATAATTATGTACCCAAGACTGCTCTGCCCTCCCTAAAAACAGCAAGTCATCCTCAACCAACCGCCTCTGAGCCCATCTGTGTGAGAACTTCTGTCATTACTGTAGTGCATTTGAAAAAGCATTGGCTGCCTACGTTTATAATTTGTTCATTTAATATTTAATCCTCCAAAAGTTTTTTTCTTCCTCGGTTTTGCAAGAGCTCAACATGGATTATCAAAGCCGGTGCAGATTTAGATGAATTCCAATGGAGATTTGATGGTTTCAATGTGAGACTTTTGACAGTGAATAGCCCAAAACAATTAGCCTCTAAAGTACTACATTGGACGCAACACCAACAAAAACAGATGGAAGGATAACAAAAATAAAAAACGAACAACTAAAAAAGGACGAATAAGACCACTGTACGAATGTACGAATCACTGCAGGTTCGCACATTTTTAGTTGTTGAATAATAATGCAGTGGTTCCTTGCACTATTCGTAATTTATCAAATTGTAGATCTTGTTTAAATGTTCTTATTCTGAAGTACATGTTTTCATACCACCTTTTTGGACTGAGAATAACTCGCTGAAACAGGTCACAAGGCATGAATCAAAAGCTAAACCGGTTCGTATACGCATGTTGCTGTTATTTCCGTAAATGCTTAAGACCCTAGCGACGAACAAACAAAAACCAACCCAAAACTTAAATTCATAAAAACGCAACAGAACACAAGGAGAAACTCAATCATGTAATTGTGCAAACCTACATCCAAAAATGACATTTATTTATGGTTATCACTGTATTTATATAAAAGCCATTAAATGAGGAAAAAAAGTCCCGATGCACCACTCTTCATTGTGAACGCATGCAGTAAAACGAGCCGCCCTGAAATGCGCGGGCGCCGTGAGTGACTGGTGACGAGTGAAAAAGGACACGAGATACACAAATACTACAGTAGTGTTTGAGCCGTGGACCCCTTGAATCCTGTGAAATCTGTGCAAACCTGTCATTACGCTGCATGAGAGTGACAGCACAGAGAAAATTGAGTTTCTTCATATTCAACGCGACAAATGAAAAGAGGGCGCGTTCTATTTAAAAGCCTTGACGTGGACAAAAAATGGAAATGTGTCTGGAGGAGGAGCATCTGCCGCCTGCTCGACTCGATGGAGATGCTGTCGTTTGGTCGGGAATGCTCCAGTGGGCTGGGTTCAGTGGGTTGGGTTCACTTGCGCAAAAGCGTCCTCACAGAACTGCCCGAAAGCAACGGCGTTTACGGAGGGGACGGAAAGCGTTTCTAGTCAAAGCACGTCAGACTTCCCTTCCATCTGACCAAGTGCGAAATTCCTTATAAAGCCGTACAAACTTACTCCTCACTTTCTAATACTTTCCGACATTCATTGATCACGGCAAAAAAAAAAAAAAATCTTGCCATCACTTACTCTAACAAAAGCTATCCACATTTGCAGCACACATCCGGTCTGGTTTTCACATCGAGCTGCTGATACTGGAGCGACACTAACATTTGTGAAAAGAGCGTCTGTAGTGATTTGAGCCCGAAATCTGACCCTGTAAAAAACAGCGGAGCGCGTAGAGCCGCTGAGGTGAGTTCAGACTTAAAGCGGAGTTGAAATTACAGTAACGGTCACTAGATCCTCACAATATCTTTAAAGTAAAAGAAACGTGGTTGGTTTGAAAGCTTGTTTTTTTACTTAGCAACTAACATCTCCATGCAGACAAGCCAGTGGCAGTGCGTCCCTCAAGAAACAGTTACACAGCCCGCCGTGAAGTGAGATTCAACATGTGCAAGCGACACAAAAATGACATTTAGTAACAATGAATAAAACATTGACGTTGGTGAATTTTAAAACCGTGTGAATTTCTATCCCGTTTAGCCCGAACTGAAAAGAAATGCGAAAGGCTAGAATAGGAATCGACCCCACAACCTTCGCAATGTGAATTAGAAAAAAATAAGTGTAAGGTTGCGTGATGTCAATATTTTGTGAAGCTTAAAATTCCACAAATATTTTTTGAGTGAAGACTATAATCAATTTAGCCACAAATTCCACAACGCAATCTTTTTGTTAGCAAATTTCATATGAACCACTTCTTAAAACTAGCCACTCTTTTGACTTGACCAATGAGATCTCACCATTATGAAGTCTTACTTATTTCTTGTGCTAACTCTACAAAATAAATAATTACAATAAAGCTGAAAATATATATATGAAGGTAAATACAAACTGGCAAACTATAGCAACACAGCACAGTACAACGACGTCTTTGCAGATTTCACAGGATCAAAGGGTTTCTTGGTAAAAGTTGAATTGTCCCTCTGGTTGTTGCAGTTTAAATTAGCCCTCTATACGAGATGGTGTTAACCCAATAGTAGTGCTCAGCTCGGATCACTTCTGCTGGTAGGACTTTCTGTACAGGGGGATAGAGGGCTGAATACACGTACATACACTGAAATCAACATTCGCTCATAATTGCACCACCACGACCTCGCCAGTGTTAGAAAATCCAAAAATTGTTAACCATCCAAACCGTTTTATACATAGAACTTTGGGAAATCGAGGCCAAAAAAATCAAAAAAAAAAATCACAGAGTTACTTTGAGGCAAGACCTGTAACGGTAGATTTGTTCATGTATTTCGCATAACCTTTTGAATCGTTTTTTTTCCTATTTACTTTTTACAGAAATGAATCAAATTTGTTAACCACCCCCCCGCCCCCGGACAGATATGGCATTACCGATTCCAAAAGAGAAGAATTAAACCCGGATCCCGTGTTTTATTTTGTCGTAGGTTGATTTCACCCCGAAAGCATGCGGACACTCTACAAGACCAGTTTGCCGACGATGACGCCGAGCACGAAAAACAGCACGATGAGGGCGATGGTGCGAGCGCTGAGACCCTCCTCCCGCTTCATTCCCACTGATGCATGCTGGGACATCATGTTGCTCTTCCTCATTCGTAGGCCATCATCTTCCTGGAGACAGATGGAGAACATGGGTAAAGCTGGGGGACCTGACTTTCAAAACCACCAATCACTGTCATCACTAGTTTTATCATGTGTGTAGTTTTGAGTCACATGTTCACAGGACAAAGATCACATTTGTGCCATTTCCCACCTCTAATAGACTGATTTGTGAAGTTGGAGACAAATATTAAAAGGTAATTTATACACAGGAACAGGGAACTGCTGAATGAATACAGAACTCATAAACCAAACCACATTTTACATAGTAATATTTTTCATAACAAACGTTTGGTAACTCCTAAGCTCAGCATCTGTACCTTTATATAAACATTCTTAGGAGTATTTAAACTAGCATGGGTCATCTGAAGTAAAGATGATAACAAAGTAAGATGTTGCCAGAAGGTGGATCTGTGGAAGTGTTCAGAAGAGCCTGTCCCCGGAGGAGGGTAAAGACTGTAACACACATCATTTCCCACCAGCAGGAGGGACCCCTGTTTAATCTGAGCCACCGGAGCAGCCCACTGTGACTGAGCCTCGGGCAGGAGCAGAGAGGAACAAGAGGTGCAGGTTGGAGAGAGTCGCTTTAAAACAGCTCGAGATGTACAAGAGCTGAGTATACCCTGATACTTTGACTTTCTGATATGTCTACTACACTACACAAGAATATAGTTCATTTGTGAAATAAAAAATATCCTTTGGCAAAATCTGACATCTTACAGAACCTCCCAATGTTGTGAAAAAAAGCAATTTTCATAGCACAGAAAGACATTCTCAATCAATCTGAGAGGCAGATAAATAATCATTTTGAGACCTGCAAGTTCTCGAAAGAAAAGACACCCTACAAAGAAATGAAAGTCTGGAAAAGGCTGCAAAAAGGCCTTTCTACATCTTTCTCCACAAATAGAAACAGTGCTGAACTAAAAGATAATTCAAAGACAACATCTTCCAAGAGGGACCAAAGAAGACAGAAGGACATGGGGAACCAGCCTCAGTCCAGTGTTCATGATCCGTTTGTTACGTGGGGCCCTAAGTACATGCCTGTCTGATCGCTACAGCTCTGGCTCAAAGTGTGGCCCTGCAGTTCTCACCCGGATCTGTTTGTTTTCTTCTCGTAGTCGCTGTGCCTCCATCTGCAGCCTCTTGCACTCCTCCATGATCTTCTTCACCTCTCCGTCATCCAGAGTGGAGCTCAGCTTCGTTGGCATCGTAGAGGACTCTGACTTCAGCAAACTAGACGTGATCTTGTTGTCCAAGTCATGCTGCAAAAAAAGGTTACACAAGGATACGTTTTATCATGGTATTAAATAAAATGCATGTGGAAGTTTCCAAGGTTTTACTGACCAAAGTCTTGGCTGGTATACTGGACTGATTAATACATGGGGGGAATGACTAACTGTGGTATAATGGCTGATTCACACCAAATAGGCCATGCAGCATAAAGGGAAATGAACTCTAACTTTCAAAAGGCCTTTTTCCATTTAATACGTTTGTGCACCTTAGTGTCGTCCACATGTGAAATATCTGTATTAAGATTAAGATTAAGAGATCCTTTATACGTCCCTCAGTGAGGGCATTTAAGTGTTGTGTCACAATTTATAGAACAGTAGGAAAGAGAACAACACAGTACAAGATAAGTGAACAATAGCTATACTAATTCAAATAAAACAACTTTTCTAACTCTAGCATCAATAACAAGTATAAAATCTCTATCTTTAAAATAATAATAAAAATAAGTGTAAGAGTTTTACATTTGGCAAAATAAGAGGCAAGTATAAAGTAATGGGTTTTCTAGGGCAAGCAATGTGTAGTTATGTTAGAATCTGTACATGTTGGCAGCAGTATGTTTACACCTGTACATTAGCTGCAGTATGTTTACAGGCTCAAAGGCATTGGCCTTTGAGCCTGAAGGTCGTGGGTTCGAGCCCACCTCAAGACCTACTTCACGACTCCCACTGATGACTGCTGTCGTTGTGTCCTTGGGCAAGACACTTAACCCCACTTTGCCTGAAGCCCCAACTGAAAGATCTCAGCTCCTGTGGACTCACCACCTGCAGGAGGATCAGTGAGGGGCTGGTGCCATGTGTACTGGGTGCAGCTCTGACTGCCACCCCCCTGACCCAGAAATGGATTAAGGGGAAGAAAATGGATGGATGGATGGATGTTTACACCTGTACATTAGCTGCAGTATGTTTACATCTGTACATTAGCAGCATTAGCCTCTGAGACACAGTGACTCAGTAAAGTGACAGTGACATGTGGTTATTGCACATTCTGAGATAAGTTTAGGATATTGCAAACTTGGGATCAAGTTGGCAGTGTTCATTAGTCCTATTATTTACCCATTGTTAGTGTTGTGCCATAGTTAGAAAAGATCTCATATGATTCATGTGTTTTTTTCTGTGTGTGTAGGACACCACAGGGGACTACCGCTCGACAAGCAGCTTCATAGCTTCTTTCCAATTAGCAAGCTGTTGTGAGTTCGGGAGAAATGGAACAGGATTGGACCCTGCCGTGAAACACTGAGGAGGTCTCACCGTTTTCTCATTCTCTGCGGGCAGCTCAAAAACACACCGGAGCTTCGAGTCCATCAGCTCCTCCGGTTTGGCCTCCTTCCACTGTAGAACAAAACAGTGAACTTATGTAAGTGTTGTGTGAAATGTGACCTTCTGTATATTTCATGAAAGAAATTAATCACAAATCAAGATGTGTTTTGAATGGAAGAAGAATAGAGAAACTTAGTCAGGTTAGATCAGAGGTGTTGAACTCATTTTGGTCGGGGGCCAAGTTTAAACACACTAGACCTGGTTGGGGCCAAAAAACTTGTGTTATATTTATGTATCTATTTTTTTTACATATTGTTGTGAGTTTGGATATTATTCCCCAGTAGATTTGTCTTCAACCAGAACTGGGCCACAATTGTTTTGATTAAGAATTTTTATCTTGGGCCTAAAGTAACTTCTGATTAGTTTTTAGAACATATGTAATTATATCGTTACTTTCCTGAGAAAACAGGCTTTAAAATGAAGTATAACATGCCATAGTATTCCTTTACCATCAATGCGGCAAGTTACTGTAATAGTGATAATTGCAAATAATTTCAGGGGCCACTAACAATAGAGTTTGACATGTCTGGGTTAGATTATCATGAATGGACTAAGCTTTACAAATACATTTCCCTTTCCTCATAAAAGCAGAAAAATATATTCTTTCAAGCGTTTCCATATTCGATTTTTCATCATGTTTCGTTTAGAATGTAGAAGTGCTGAGATAGCAGTGGTTTAATGATTGGGTAGAGCGGTGCTTCTGATTGAGATTCATAGATTCTCATTCAGATCGACTCAGCTCTTTGTTTACAAGCTTTAAAAGGCTGCAGTGAAGAAATATTTACACCCTTCTTCCCGTATCCACATACTTTGCCAACCTCAAATCCCCCTCTGATATAATTGGGAGGGTTCAGATCAGGTCTTGAGACTTGGCTTGGCCTCTACATTTCATCATTTTAAAAGTGTTTCCGTCCAAAATCAGCCATGTTTGTAGGACTGCACTGTGTCGTCTGTGTATTGTGAGGTTTGGGGGGGGGGGGGGATTCTACTCACCACTCCCTCCATGTCGGTCATGTCCGGTGGCGCTAGCATGGACTGCACCATGAACTTGTGTTTGCTCTTCTCGTTTGGGTCGTAGTCAAAGGGCTGTAGCATAACTGGGAAAAAAAAAAAACAATTAAGATTCATTTAATTTGCCATTTGCAGTAAAACCACATTGGAATACATTTGCAAAAGTCCCCAATGACAAAAGACAAGTACCTAAATAAAATAAGGTTAAAAGTACTGGAATAAAAATGTGCTGGAAAAGATTGACACTGAATCAGTCAAATTAAACAAGTTTCAATAAAAGAGCAAGATCATGTGCTATCTGATAACTGTTAGCAATATGATACGTCCCTCATCTCAACATATGATATAAAGTTACACTTTATTAATCCCCGTAGGTCAATTCATCTTCTGCATTTGACCCGGACTGATGCCACTAATGCCCAGGAACTCAACTCCAGATGTTGATGCTCTGCTTGGTCAGGACTGGAGCTTTTACCTATCGTACATGTTTTTAGTTGTGGAGGAAACCGGAGCTCCCTGAGGAAACGTATACAGGCACGGGGAGAACATGCAAACTCCACTCAGAAACACCTCGATTCTAAACCAGGACCAGGGCCACCATGCTGCCCAGAGGGAAGAAGCTGGAACATGGCTTTTCCAGGGGCCAGCAGAGACATTGATTATTCTAAGACCTCGGTTTAAGAGTCTGGATTCATAGAGAACCTCCAGAACAAGTAGCTCACGTTCTTCTTTGCAGAGCGGAGCACCTTGTAAGACATTTATTTAAAGTTTTACAAAGTGTGAGGAGATATTGGAACATTTCAAGTATGTACTATCAAAATTATTAAAAAGATGTAGTGGTACAGTCAAATAATAGATCTCATCTGGCCTTTGATTGTTCATTCCTTGCCTCTGTACTGTGCAGTTCTGTAGTTACATGAATACATCACACAGGTCATAACTTTAGCAGATCTATTTTTTTTGTCGTTTCTGCACTGGTGTTTGTGCCAGGAATCACCTGATGGCTGGATCATGCAGCTCTAATTTAACCGATAACGATCCTAAGTAATGTCAAATGTTTTCATGAACGCATAACAACTGACGTGCTGGTATTTATGAACAGGTGGAGACTGAAGACTGCAGGACGGACTGAGCTGAAAGTTGATGGTTGGAAACCGTTCTAGGTGAAATGTTCGTTAAAAATTCAGTATATGGCATATTTTCACATGCAACCTTACAAAATGTAACTAATATAATAGAAACGCAAAATGCCACACATAGGTTATTTTGTGTTTGTGTGCTCTACTGTTCTGTAACTTGTATCTGAAATTTTCCCACAAAAAGGAATTCTAATAATGCATCTTAATAATTAGTAAATGTGTGTCAATGACATTTTTGCGTCAATTGGTTCAGGTCCCCCCCTTTCAAAACAAAAAGGGCCAAATCCAGCTTCCTCCCCGCCTCAATCTGCCTTTTTAATAGCTGATTGGGAGATGGTCCGTTTTGGTTGACGCACAGGGGTGGACTGGCCATCAGGAGTACCGGGCAATCCCCGAAAGGCCGATGCCCATATTTGGGCCGGCCTGTGAGCCCTCAAACAAAGAGATATTTTTCAGAAATGTGTAAATCTGTTAAGAAATCGAGGGGGGCGCGCATGACCGCGGGTCTCTTGCATCCTCTTGAACGGGATTCCACATCCTCCGCAGCCTTTAGACAGCGGTTCCCGCGTCCAGCGGCTGCTAAATGTACCCTAGACCATTTACACGCACAGGACCATACTGTGCTTGTTGTGTGCGTGTCTTTGCGTTACCAGTTCAGGCAATAAATACAGCGCTGCAAGAAACAGACCACGTCTTCCTTGTGTCTCTTCCCAAAGCGCAACTAAACTCGCTAAATTAAAGCTGGGGTAAATTTTCCTCTTGCATTAACAGTTCATGTTGGTTGTGCCCAAAATTAAAATGTGAACAAATCAAACAGATTTAATGTATGTATTGTAAAAATAACCGTAAAAAAAAACTAAATAAAAAAAAAAACGGCCGGGCCGTCAAGGAGGGAAAAATGCCCGGGTCGTTTTTAGGTCCCAGTCCAGCCCTGTTGAAGCAGATTATAATCTGTTTAATGTATTTCATATCTTTTGTTTCTGTGTTTTTAATCGATCTCCACTGGTGCGGTCTGCAAATGAAGTTACTCTTGGATAAAAAGTTATTTGAATTTGAGTAACATTTTGATTTTGCAGGATTTAGAAGAGTGGCATGTTGCTGTGCCTTAAGAGATTCTATTTAATACACTTTGATGAGAAAGACTTTGCATTGTTCATTAAAGTTGCAGAGGTCCATTTTTGTTTTCATCTCAGCTTTTGTTCGTTATATATTAACAGAGATTTTTTTTCCTCACAATATTATCTTCATATTTTTTTTTCAGACTATTCCTTTATTTTTTTATTGTGAAATACTATGAGACGTACTGTGACAACGCAATTTCCCTTCTGGATCCATAAAGTCTGTCCAAGTACCTCAGAATTGGGATGAGCCCCAACTCTAAGTTTGGTGGTGTGCCCCGTAGGAGTGTGACGATATATCGATATTGTGATACTTTCTCACGCGATCGATTATCGATATGCTTTTGCATATCAATAAAAAAAGAAAAGAAATTATATATATAACAGTATATTTGACCAATATATCGATAATCGTCATATGGTGATATAATCGTTATCGTGAGCTGTGTATAGCGTATAGTATCGTATCGTGAGGTACCCCGAGGTTGCCACCCCTAGTGCCTCGTGATTGTATTTGATGAAAAAGATGTACCACAGCTCAAAAAAGGTTGGGGGACACCGCTTTAGAAAACACCTCTTTGACTGTGATATGTGTGTTGCCCTGATGTACACACTGTGACCAATGTGCTGTTATCTGCGGGGGGTGATCTTTCCAACAGCTCCGATCGCTCCGGTTCTTCATACGGCACAGATCATTCTAACAGAAAGCAGGTGTGTGCATGGAATAGTGCTCAGCCAGTTGTACTGCAACTGAAGTGATTCCAATGACTTCAACAGTATTTTATAGGCCGATGATTTATGGACCAATTGGACGATCGCTTTCTGATGTCAAGGGATCAGAAATAAACCACATTTTTGTTTTTGTGAATCATAACAAAAAAGGCAGTATTACTTTTTAGGTAAAATGTAAATTGAGTTGCTATATTTTAGCAGATCAACATGCTAGAACAGTCTGAGGTCTACATTAAATTCTGCAGGCAGCTTGGAATGCGTTGTAAATGGGAAAAAAACATGTTTTGGGTCAAACTAGGTACAGAACATTTAAAAAGGCATGAAGAAGTATGTATGCCAAACCATGTGATTGGCTTTTGGTGCATGGACAGAAGGTACATTTTATATGTCACTTAATTTTTTTTAAAGAAAGCAAACAAAACTCAACAACTACATCCCCTTTAATACTGGGCACTACATTTGTGAATTACTTTTCTCAGGCAGACCAAAACTACACTTTGGCATAGATCCCAGGTTTGAGAGAAACCTCAGAAAAGCAGTTCGCCTTTCATGCAATCAGGCCAGTTTCAATATCTCAAATAAGAAACAGATTGAGAACGTCCTGTTTAAGTCTGAGTCAATTTGAACGCCCATCAACTTTACCTCCCGACGGACAACACTGGAGAGGGAGGCGACAAAATATCTTTGAGATACGCTAATGACCATGAAATGTACCATAACGAAGCCAGTCAAAATAATTTAATTTCATCATCAACAAAGCCTATAATAGCCAATGGCCTGATTTGGGTTTCTTAAATTAAAACGGGCAGATATTTCCGAAACCAAGAAGGCTGAAGTACGAGCACATCTAAAAAAGGTGCACTTATCAACTTCTAAATGTTAGTTCTTGGCCTGGAATGTTCTACTGTGGCATTACATGATAACGACACATTGATATTACCGTCATGACAAAATAATCATCACCCACATTTAGAAGGGGATAGGTATAAATAAGTATGCTGCATGTGCCTGTTTCCTAGTGTTTGAAATGAGGCAGAACATGGCAAATTATAAGCAGCACGCAACTAACTTGTTTGCAATTTCCAAAACTGTCAAACAGAAAAAAAAAAAAAGATTTACAAAAAACACAATAGTTTTGTAATGATGTAATGCCAGAGGAATTTGCTTGAGTGAATGTTTACATTTCTCTAGCCCAGATATTTCTTTGATGTATGCTTGCTTAAGGTTCAAGTTCAGGTAAAGAAACATGTGACGCATAAGTAAGACATGCCGACGGCTGCACCCTGGTCCTCATTTCTCAACAACCTGGTCAAAGGGAACAGGCTGGTCAACGATCCACATCCCAATTGTTGTAGCACTGGTTTTTGAATCTTTGCCAGGAATACAACCAAATGTTTCTAATCTGAAAATGTAGAGCAATCCTCTTCAATATTTATTGAAGAAAATACACAGCCATTTAATAGATTAAGCATTAGATGAGTCAATACCAAACAGTGAACTTGCATTATAAATAATTTGTCTGAGAACAAGGACAATACACAGTCCACATCCTCCTCATAACGTTGTGAAAATGTTTCCCCTCAGATTATGACTTTATGTTCATGGGTTTTCAGAACATTTATGCCACATATTTGTGTGTGACTTTCAACACTGGAGGAACATTCTACATTCCTGTGACCATGGCAGCACTGGTGTATACGTTTACAGCTTCAAAACATACAATTTTATACTAAATCCCCTGAGCTACATTATTGGTTTATGAATATCCTGTTTCATGCTGATGGTGACATGAAGTTGAAGCTGCTAAATTTAATATGGTTTAAATAATATCTTTAAAAAAAGCTCCAAATCTACTACTCTGTTTCAACTGAACTTACCCTTTACATTTACACTTTATTTACATTATTTACACACTTTGTTGTTTTTTAAGACTGTAACCAAGAACCATCCATCCATTTTCTTCCCCTATGTCCATTTCTGGGTTGGGGGGGTTGGCAGTCAGAGCTGCACCCAGTACACAAAGCACCAGCCCCGCAGGCTGGAGCCTTGATCTTTCAGCGGGGGCATCAGGCAAAGTGGGGTTAAGTATCTTGTCCAAGGACACAACGGCAGCCGAAATCAGTGGGAGTTGTGAAGTAGGTCTCATGGTGGGCTCGAACCCAAGACCTTCAGGCTCAAAGGCCAATGCTCTACCAACTGAGCCACTGTCACCCCAACAACAAATTTTATTTTATTATAGGATGAACTGTTTAGAACGCAAATGCAAGATTTTATGTAAAATTTTACATGTAAAAAGCTGAAGTGAAGCCGTTGAAGCTACAACAGTTTTGTTTGATACATTTTGTGGTATATTTTATGTCGTTTTTTTCTCCAACTATGTCACAAAAGATATCTCACAGTAGTAAAATTGGTTTAAGTCTGATTTTCATTTTTGAAAAACAAAAAATATTGATTTAGGGTCAGCTATAGGACATCTAACGGCACAAGACAGAAAATGAACCTCAATATGTCTAATCGTTTGACCTATTGCTACTCCGTCAACATTAACACACCAGTCTAGCCTAGCTAAAAGCCGCCAGTTAAACTACAGACCAGCGTCTCTGAGTTTTCCATTAGAGAAAGCCTGTAGCCTAATAGGGGTGAAAAATGCTGGCACCACAACAAAGTGGACAGTGCCGATTTGTTATGCCCTGCTAGCCACAGGTTCCACTGACACCGTTCACAAGAGATGTTGACACAAGATAAAGCAGACTGTAAAATAAGTCCGCTGTTAAAGATGGTACAAAATAATTCATGACAGTAGAAAAAAAACTCCTCTGGTAAATAGCTAAATAAACAGCATTTTGAGGACGTGAATGGGGCTAATCAACCCGCTATATAGGCCAGACAAAATGTTACAAAATAAAGCACAAATGTTAAGTTGGTCTGGAATGTCTCTTGTTGGGCACATATGTGAACTTTCATTTCTTGTGTTGGTAAGCTTGGTTGCAACAGGGGTCTGAATGAACAATAGAAAAAAACATTTGGCTGAACAGATTTGGACAAGCAATTTAGCAAGGATCCAATCTCAATTAATAGAGTTTCTTTATCACTGCAAGGGTGCGTTTGCTGTGGATGTTACATTACATGAACTGATTTAGTTTCCGAACACCTTTTTATGCATGCCTTGTAGGGGTGTAACAAATTTCCCGTTGGAATTTCACGATTCAAATTTCATATTCACACATTGGATAAGCCTTGTTAAACCACCTCAAAAACCCGTCTGGATGGTCCGCTGTGTGTGCGTCATATCATTCCGTCTTCTCATCCTTGTAGCTAATTCACGCTAGGGCTCCACGGTATTGGAAAGAAGAGTTATCTCGGACTGTCACGGAATATATTGCAATATTTTCAGTGCACGAGGAACTGCTCATCTCTTCTACAGTCCAGGAGTCCAGGAGGCACAGGAAAAAACAGGCACTCTATAGTATATAGTCCAATATTTTGCCCTTCTTCATTTTTCACAGTCTTAAGCACATGTGGGATAATAATTATGTGAGTGATACATCATTCAACATTGTTCAGCGTTCGTCAGTGCACTAAACGGTACCGGTCATTCCAGCTCTGAGAATAATCTTTATCCAACAATGGCAATGAGTCACATAGATGTCCTCGATCCAGACTCGGACCCGAATTATTTAATTAACAGTAATACAATGAGCTAGTTGCATTGTACTTACAGATTTAGGCTCCTCGTATGCATCTTTTATGGAATAACAGATACGTTTTTGAGTAAGTCCACTTTCAAACACCTCTTCCAGTTAAGTTCCCTGCTGAGTTTACTTTTTATATTCATGTTTATTCAATTATTATTTCTGCCATATTGTATTTTGGATCCTCGCTCCTTTCCACCATGTGACACTATCAACACTATTTTAATTTCATGGATTTTATTCATTTGATCAGGGACAATGCACAATAAACAATAGTCATATGAACAAAAAATATGTCATGTGCCCGGTTTTAGCAAAAATACTTTTGTTTTGTTTTATTGTTTGAACAATTTGATTCTCTGATCTATGTTGGCGAATTCAACAGTTGTGTCGAGTTTCGAGAACTAAACTAATGTCCTCCGAGATAACGACGATAACGAATGTTGGGATTTATGGCTATACAAGATTGCATTGATTATAGTGTATTTTATAACAAGGACTATAACGGAGTCAATATAACACACAACTCACTTTTCTCTGTCAACATTTGTACTCAAAACACAACCTGGATCAAGTTTAAGGGGTGGCTCATTTGATATAAACTACAGCTGTTCAACAATGTGTAAATTAAACATTTCGCTCACAGGCCAAGTGTAAAGACTGGGAACCAAATCATTCTGCCGTAGGTCATCTGTGTCTTGTGACATCTGTGACATTTCAATTTTACAAAATCTCTTCCGACCGCTAATATACAGTGTATTAGCTAAATTGGAATGACATGCTGTAGTATGGCATAAACAAAGCCTTACCTGAGACATTGATGGAGGTTCCTGCATCAATAATCCCGCTGTTGGGCCGCACGCAGTACCGGCGTGGCGCTGTTGTTTTCACCTTAAAGCACACATTCCTGTCTGTGGGGTTGGAGAGCTTGAGGTTTGTGGTGACCACGTCTGAAAAGGGACCTGCACAAAACATATGTAATCATTATTAGGCTGAAGAAGTGCAGCTAGTATTATGTGATAGTAGTAAGTACATCCGTAAGTGCACGCCCATGAGCATCTTTGGCTCATATCACAACAATTATAAATAGTTTTAGTTGTAGGCTAAAACCAACCCCAAAGACACATTCAAGATCAACTAAACACCAGTGCCAAGCCTTACTCCTCCCACATGAAAATTCTCTCTAAAAAGGGCATTGCCCGGCGGACAAGGGGAAAAGAAGGAGGGCTTAGAGTGGAAGCGCTTTCTGTTCGATGAGACTCTGAAAGTCTAGTACCGTGAGTAGTCAACAAAACGCGTACCGTCTTTTCACCTGATGCGGGCCGCTTTACCATGGAGCTAAAAGATACGGGCCACTTTACAGCGGTAATATTTAAAGTCTATGGGTAGCGCAGAGCGCCGGACGTCATACTGCACAAAGCAACGTCAAAAAGCCGTCAGAGCCAATGGAGAGGCCAGGCACAAAATTCAAATGTAGTGACACCGAAAATGTAGAGAGGGCGACAGACAGACAGTTTTATAGGCTCAAATGAGATTTTATTTGCTCCAAAATTTCAAAAAAAACTGACCAGGACATTATAACAAAAATAAAAACATTTATGCAATTTCTAAGTTAAAAAAGTAGATTTTGTGTTTAGCTGTCATTAAAAAACATGCACACTACACAGAAAGCCCCATGCCTCTCAGAAGCTGAGCTCTTGACCCTTTTTCTGCATTGCATAATATGAAAGATAACATTGAAGGTACATATTTTGTTACTTGTATATAGTATATATGGCTACAAAAAAGTGTCAAGAGTCAAATCCACGATTCTTCTGAAAACTACTACAGAATTTGTTTTCAATGCAGTGAGCTATTTTTGAATGAGCTCATGGCAAAAGATAAGGTTTCAGTGAATGTCCCCGACACTTCCTATTCTCTGCAGCGACAGCAGGAACTCTCCGCACTCAAACATAGGACCTGTTGAAATGAAAACAGGCACCCAATCAAGTACTATAAAACAACAAATACATAAAACCAAACTGCAGTTACAGCAGTAGATTGAGAAACTTAAAGCCAGAGGATTGTCATTACTTTAAGGTGAGACATTAAAAGCACATGAATTATGAATGGCTTCCTACAGCATTAAGCATAGAAGATCCATAATACAATGCATGCATGCTTTCATGTTTCTGCCCAACATGTGATGGGAGCTATACTACATTTGCAAATTAATCTTAAATTATTCATGAGACAACAGCAAGGAATTCTTCCACATTAATATTTTTTGTAACAGAAAAATACACCAATAACAAATACACCACACTGCTTGATTGGGAAAAGTAAATACTACTTTGAGAAATTCCAGGTAAGGAGTGTGAGTCAAGAATAAATAATATATAAACAATGTATCAAACATGTTTATAGACCCAAGCATCAGAAATTTCAGGTAAAAAAAAATCAGTTTGAGGAGAGGGTAATTAGCGAAAACAATACAAAATTAAATCCGCAAGCGGCGTCGAATGGCCCCAGCCACATTACGCAAAGGAGGTGTCACTGCCGCCACATCTCCCAACAGCCCTAATGGAAGCGACACTGTATTTGGAATGCCTATAATGAGGGATTGTGTGTCTATTGAATAGTATGGGAACTTTTGATAGTACGTTGATGTGTTGAGATGATGCGGAGTGATTTTCAGCCAAATTAGTGAAACGTCTGAGGCTGGTTTGATGTTTGTGCAAGGTGTACATTTCAGAGATTTAACAATTTTGCCATAGAAAGAGAAAGGTGAGTGTTTGACATCGCCACGGCAACAGAGTAAAAAATAAATCTTTGGTCTCAATGACTTTTTGAATCAAAAGGCCAAAACAGAATTATGTGCAAAGTTAACATTTTGAAACAAACTAAATATGATTATCCCCATGTAAAACTTTGACATAGTCTGCACACTTACAAATGATCTAAACCCTGGAGTTGAACAATCAAAAAAAATGTTTTGTGCAAATCAACATTTAATATGTGGCCTGGTGTCTCAAATAATCAAAGTAAAACCATGTGAGTTTATTTAACAACTAAGCCTTGCAGAATAACACCTCGCAGGCAAATGTCAAGCTCCTCTCAATTAGAGCTCTGAATGACGACGACATGTTGCCAGATACAAACAAGCAGATGTTGTCCAGTTCTGTGTGCTGTGAGCCATCAGATTATTACATGGCTGCTGTGTGGCCAATAGAGCGAGTCAGCCAATGTAGAGGTAAACTAGCGCTAAACAAGTACTACCTTGGCTTCAAACATAGCTTCTAAATGATTATATAGACATCTGTAGCAGTATGGAGTTCACTCATTGTTGGCCATTGCGTGGCGGTACTCCCATCTTGTATTTATTTTTGTGGTCATATGTGTATGTATTGTCAAAGCCTCATCTTGTCAGACCCCAGAAGCTAAACAGAATAATAATCCCTGGTACTGGGATGGGAGACTGCTGGACAAAGAATCTGGTGTGTATGAATGATTGGTGTTGGTCAGAGGGCCCCTCCTTGCTTCAGTCAGTCTACCCCACGGCTACTGTGAGGATACAATATCTTACAGCTTTTCTGTATAATAGGGATATAATACTTAATACTTCTGCCTTCACACAGATTGGCCTGTGCCCAAATCAAAAAAAAATGTTCCTGCAGGTAGAGGATGAGACATCCAGGCATATAATATTATCCAGGTTTTAACACGATACTGCTGGTCTTAGCTTCCCCTTTTGAAGGAATTTTATAGTTTACTAAACTTACCCATAAGATAAGAATTCCTTTATTCGTCCCACAGTGGGGAAATTTTGATGTTGCATCGCACATATAGGACAGTAGTAAGAGCACACAGGGATCACACACAATATATACACTATATACAAATAAGTAGTAACTATGTTTCTTAGCTAACATAACTAGCTGTAGATGCTGAAAATGCTTCAATACCAGTCAAAATATATATGTAGTAGTGCAGTTATATACTGTACAGTTAAATAGTGCATTTGCCTCAGTTTGGTCTGGTGTTGCTGTGATAACTGCGCTGGCTCAACTAAACTGAGAGTCATTATTGTGTTTCTTGCCGTAGTTCTTCAGATTGTAGAGACTTTATACTAGGATACGGTTTGTCTGATGTGTGGATTAGAGCTCTGTGCATTTCAAGATGTTCCGGGCTTTATAGCCCTTTACAAGGTGCTATTTGCTGTTGTAGCACTGCGGGTTAATATGCAGATATTGCCTCATGACTGTGAGAGGACACTTTTATTTCAATTAGATATTGAAGGCACGGCAGAGACATTTCTCACTTTAGATAAGGTAAGATACACTTTATTGATCTCACAATGGAGAATTTTACACCTGCAAGTAGATTGTTCAAATGGAAATTGTACAAAGTTTAGGTAAGAATTTGCTCATTAATTACTTGTGCTGTCATCTATGATACCTGCTCTCCTTGCAAAACAATACAAAGGGATTCATGTAGAGTGTAGTCAGGAGCACTGGATGAGGCCTGTACTCATGTGAGTATGCTGCAGTGTGTGTGATGGGGCACGACAAACATGAATTACTATACAATGTATTTTTTTTATTATTGTAATTGTGTATCACTAGAGTTTTGTCCCTCCCGTCCATGTGGAAACCGCGTGAACCACTACCAAGAATAAATCAACTTTACAGATCCAAAGTGGTTCCACTGACACACACTGAAGAATTAGCTTGTATGCTTAATTTTGTTTTAATTATTTTGGCACAGGCTTGTTTCCATTCTCTGCTAAGGTCTAAACATATACACCAGCCCTCCACTCACACAATGATACCAGAAAGTCCAAGTTGACAGAGTTATGCTATAAAAGAAAAATGATAAATGAACAATAGGTGAATCTGAGATTGAATTGTGTTACTACTTGATTTGGTTTGATGGTAAAATCCTATTTTATAGACACACGTTCAAAGGAAAAGCTGCAATGATCTACACAATACATCTGAGCTCTTTTGCCTGCTCTTTTATGTGCAGCTCCTTCAGAAAACATGAAAGGTGATTCTCCATTGACTTTGACCACGACTAATTGTAAACCTGCAGAAAATGATGACAAGTGGTAAATAATGTCACACCTTTGTCTAAAATGAGCAGCTGAACAGAAGATTGAACACATGTTTCACTTATGAACATAAATATTTCGAGACTAATCGAGCAGTCACCGAGGAAAGAGAAAAATCTGGAAGTGACTGAAACTTGGGCCTAGCTAGCTTAGCTCCTGAAAGCTAATCCAGTGAGCTAACTAGCCAGCTAGCTGTCACTTGACCTGCCGTCCTTTTAACCAGGGGTATCTCCCTTATAATGAGCTGTATTTGGCCCCCCACATTAAGCACAGTCTGCCTGCGCCTCGGTCATTATAACATTGGAATTCCCCCCTCTCCAGAGCCCGTAGGGACAGGCAGTGGCCCCCTCCTCTAGCCCGAGCCAGGCCCTCCTTCTTGCCCGGGCTCATACCTCTGAATTTCATGTCGTGCTGCGGCTCCAAGAGCAGAACCTGTTCCGGCCTGGCCATCTCCCAACAGCAGCTGGAGCGATCGCACTGCAACCAAGTCCTGAGGGTCTCCTCCCCCGAGTCGAGCCGTGGAGGGTGAAGTATGGCCCCGTCACTGAGTAGATGTGTTTAATGAATGAATTAGCCGAGTGCGCTGGTCCCTGGAGCTACTACAGAGCTATGCGCCGTGGCTGTTGTGATGCAGCAGGAAGAGAGGCAGGCGGCTGACGTCACGGCCTCTGCACCAGCCAAGCACCAAGTCACACACACAGAGACGGGCACCAAGGAAGACTGATCCAATAATGTGCACAATCACCAAACGAACTCATGCGATTCCGAATCCAAGAACATGTGGTGCTTCTGTGGAACTCTCCTCTGTTGGCAAATTGTTGCAGAACTGCTCATGTGAATGTCATTCTGTTTTCGCTGCCTCAAGCCACAAGCAACATAATACAGTTCTCAGACTCAAATCAACTCAAGCTACAACTTAATTCTGCTTTGCCAAAAGTCAAGCTAGAGTTAAACAAAACTAGAGACAGCTATTATGGAGTTGTCTGCCTCAGGCGAAGTACACAGGATTCTGAGTGCCACAATGAAATATATAAATACTTTTATTATTCAACTTAATAATCATTTAATAAATATACTTTGAAATAAACAATTAAACAGTAAAAGTACATTTTATATACATTTGCAATGAAATCAAATGATAAAAACAGGCAATACACATTTTAACGAGGAAATAAATCACTGAAATGTTTAAACTTTCTTACAATGATTAAAAAAATTAAACAACATTGGTGCACCTTGGTGTTGCATAGAATTACAATCATCTTTTTTATTTAAGCTGAAATCACTATATCAAAGGCTTACTCAGAAGAAATACTTCCATTGGAGGTAAGTAATCTAATGGAAAGACTGCATGTGAAAATTATAACAAAATTAAGAAATCTAAAGGCTCCCCAACCCCCTAATGTAATTACTGTAACTTATGTAAGGTTTAAATCCAATTCTGTAACTTGGTGATCGTATCCTGACCTGGCATTTAACACACCATGAAAAGCCTCCAGCATGTGAAAAATGCATCTCAAGTGTCATTGTCATATTTATAGCTATATATTTGAGTGAACAACTAGTGACCAGTCGCTAACAACACTGTCACTGTATCCCACAAGAAGCACTTAATGTCCAACAACACACACCACGTCATTTACAAACGATTTCAAATTAGATGGAGAAAAAAACAACACTTTATTTGTCAATCTTTTATTAATAAACAAATTGACAAGTCCCTTTTGACACAGTGGAAGTATATTGCACATGTGTGTTCAAGCACTTGTTACATACAAAATGAATAATAAAAAAAGCTAAGAAAGGGTTAACTAGCGCTGAAGAAGATTACTGCAAAAAAACTCAGCAATAGGCTACTGTGGTCAGAAATGCATTACAATAGTGCGTGTAAACCAATGTTTTTTTTTACACATATAGATATTAGTGATAATGCCATGATTAATCCAGTTCCTAGGGCCAGCCTAAGACTATATTTTGAATGCAAAATTGACATAATTCTACCTGTGTATATATAAGTTTAGCCAAGATAGAAGTGACATATTTTACAGTAAAAAGAAAGAAAGAAAAAGTGTTAGACTATTTTCTCTTGCAGATTTGTCAACAGAACATTTAAATGGGCAATATGAAAGGACAGAATTACAATCACTGCAAGTCATGCATCTCACCCTGATTTTATTAGTAACAATTGGATTCATGAACTTGGGAGGAGGCAAATTCATTTTTACTGCCCAGTATTTGAAAAAAGGCAAGTTTACACCCCCAGCCATAGACTTCATAGTTTTGGCCACAATTTGGACCAAAGACAAATCCCCAGTCATCATTAGTGATTGTATGAAGACACACATTATCAATTACACATGTTTTCCATTTTTAATAATAATAATACGAATGCAAATGTGTAATAAACTGAATCTGAAATGTGCAGTTCATTCAAGGCAGCACAGGAATTTACATCAACTGGAGGCTTTGGCCAAAATGAAAGGGCAGCTTAACCATCAGAGCAAACTTAACCATAAAAGGCTAAACTGTCATTAATGAGAAATGGGAAATACAAAACAGAGCTGGTGGTTTTAAACTTCTAATATGATTCATTTGAGAAGTTTCTGTTGGCATTATAATTAATTTAAAAATAGAAAACAGTAATCTAACAATAAACAACTTCACACAACCACTGGCAATAAAAAAACAAATGTTTGTGTTATCCTTCATAATCTAATAAATTTGGCCAAATATGTGGTAACTTTCAAACACAACTCTATACATTTACAGTGTATACATTTTTTTTATCACATCCAAGCTCTCATGTGAATAATAAACTGCTTTTTCAACTACATTGCAGCTTTTTCAACTACATTGCAGCGCAGGTAAAATATATATGAGGGAAGGATTAGTATGTGGGGAATTGCATGGCCGATAAAGTCTTTGATTAGTGTGAAAGTGCATGCTGTAATATAAAGGCAAATATTGTTCCATATTCAAATTATTTACAAGAAAAAAATACAGCAAAAAGATCCTTCATTCTGTGTGAAAGAAAAAGGTTTCGGTGACTGAGCCTCTCTGGTGTGACCTTGTGCGAAAGAATGTGGTGCCTCTTCTACTCAAACAGATGACCTGACAATTAGCTCTCAAAGATTACTTTTGTACTCAACTAATCCTGATCATTCCATTTCCAACACTATGTAGTTGATTTGAATAGATTTTTCTAATAATATTGAGGAGATTGGATGCTCTATGAAAAAGCAGCAGTAATCTTTTGTGTGATTTAAAGGAGATGCAGTCCACCTTCAATAAGCGCGTCACTCAGACACGATTTTTGGCGTATTATTCCTGTTTTAAGACTTTAAGAGCGAAGGCCATACTTTAAAAAGACAAGATTTGCTGCTTGTACATTTTATCTATTATAGTTGAACTCTTGCCACCTGTTTGATGGGAACTTTTTTTTATGTGTGTGGCCTGGCTGACATTTTCAAGAGTTTAAAGTTAGAGATAGTCGTTGAATCAAAGGTCATGTAATAATATCAAATATGTCTGACAATACATGTTTTGAAGCAAGATAACAATGCAGTCCAACTAAAATAGTCCACGTTTTTACGCCAACATGCTGAGCGTTGATGAGCGTAGAAAACAAGTCACATAAACTTGAGTCAAAATATGTATGCGAAATATCCTACACATTTACAAGTCAATAATGCTGTGACTAAGGTGGTTGTGTTCTGTATGTTTTTACACGGTTGTTCTGGGGGTGCATGGTCTCGCCCTGCGGTTGTTATCTGGCCTCATCAGCAGCACACCCTCTGAGACTCTGAGGCCTGACGTCCGATTTTAAAACTCTTCCCTGGGCTCGCACCGGCAGCGTCTGCAGCCGGGATTTGCTTGCCTGGAGAAAGGAAACAGAGGCTGAGAAATTCATGTAGAAACATTATTGGTCACCTCAGATACAAATAGTGTTAAGAAAATGTTAAAAGACTGTTGAGAGTAAATGGTGAAATAATGGTCATTACAAGAGTAGGTTATACATTCATTAAACAAATGTATAACATATTCTTGTGCCTTTCTCTCCTACTTTTGTGTCAGCCTACGTCATACTATACCTGTGTCAATCTTACCATTCAATCTCTCCTAATTTAATTGTTTTTTTCTTTTATTGTGTGTGTGTTAGTGTGTTAATAGAACTTTGACAAGGCTGTTACAAGCCCTTCATTTATAAAGAATGATGGATTGATTGATTGACAATTTTCTTGACTGATTGAACTAATTTGAGGTAGTGATTATGCTCCTACATTGTCAAAATGAATTGTCTGAGCACACTTTTCCCAGATTTCTCAACATGCTGGCAGCATCATGAATCCTAGGATCTTTAAAAAACACACTCACTTATCTCTATAAACACCTTGTCGATATTAATGGCATTTTTGGCACTGGTTTCCACAAAGATGGCGTGGATGGAATCTGCGTAATCTTTGGCATCTTTTTCTGGTACTTCTCTGTGAAAGTAAAAAGATAATGTCAAAGATATAAAACAAATATGAATATTCTACAGCTAACAGCTAGATGGCAATTAATATATTGTTTTAAGGTCTATCCAATGGAGCTACTTTTGTCAGAATAACATGGGAGAAAGCAGCTCCTTGAAGCGGTTGAAGTACATTTACCTGCTGACCACCACAGATGGGATGCATTTAGATAATACATTTATAATGGTTTGTGAATCAAAAATTTATTAACTATCGTCAGATTATTTGTAAATGTAAAATCCTTTGCAGAACACATAGATTGAACTAGTGTTGTAGGGCAGTAAAAAAAACATTGGAATGAGAAGATAAAAACAGTTAAATGAGATTAAAGAACAACATTAAAAACCATACCTAGCATCCGTGAGATCACATTTGTTGCCAGCGATTGCAACCACAATATTTGGTGGTCCGTGCTGCCGTAGTTCCTTCACCCAGTTCTTTAAAGTTTGAAATGACTCCTGCAAACACACCACCAACAACATATGAAGAATATTTATTTTACGTAACCTCTCAATAGCATTTCCCAACATCAAGTCACAGGGCTACTAGTGGAGTTATGATGAAGCTACTAGTGGAGTTATGATGAAGCTACTAGTGGAGTTATGATGAAGCTACTAGTGGAGTTATGATGAAGCTACTAGTGGAGTTATGATGAAGCTACTAGTGGAGTTATGATGAAGCTACTAGTGGAGTTATGATGAAGCTACTAGTGGAGTTATGATGATGGTTTCATGACAGATACATTTTCTAAGTGACACCCAGTGGTTCCCAAAGTGGGGGTGGCAACATAATTTCAAATGATACAATTCTGAAATTATCATGTTGTATTAAATCAATTATCTAATACAAAGGACAGTGTTTTCGGTGGAATTTAGAACAATAACAGGGTAGGGATCCCCTTATTGTATTCGCTCACTACTCAATGTGGAGGATTGTTTTAACTCAGGGATGTCAAAGTCAGATACATCGGAGCGCCAAAGAAACAACATTTCTACAAGTCAAGGGCCGGACTGGTTCAATGTTTATGTTCAATGCGGGCCGGTTCTAATACTAATCAAATATCATCCCGGGCCTGGAAAATCCCAGGCCTTGACTTTGACACCCATGTTTCAATTAAAGCTGTTCAAAATGCAAATTAAGCCTTGTTAAAATGTAAAAATTAAATACATGTATAATCAAACTTTCAGTAATTTCCAATAAACTACATGAGAATCTTTGTATGAACATAGACAACATACATACATACATGAAAGACAAAATACCTCTTTAGTGATGTCATACACAATGATGGCTGCTGCTGACCCTCTGTAGTACATGGGTGCCAGGGCTCTAAACTGTGGAAAGAAGGATAAAGTATATTTGATGCATAATTTCACATTCACACCATCAAAGCTATTCCAAAAACCTGTAAAATGATATTAACAATAAACAATTCCAGCCTCTTGGATAGCATCACATTCAGAGGGAGAGTATTTGCACACCGACCTCACACATGTGGTAACCATCAGGGAAAGATGAGCACAATGTGTCAGGAGCTGTTAACGTTTGGATATTAATGACAGACTTTACATTTGATCTTAACTCAGTACATCACATAAGTCTGGATAATCAAAACAGCTGGTGCACATTTGAGAATCTTCCAGCACCGGGATGGGGAAGTCTCTTCATACGTCTCAGACTGGTATGTCGCTGCTAAAGTACTTAGGCATTCTGGGCCAAAATGGGGCGCAACAAGTATTTGGATAGATTAGGGAAATGAAAAAAGGGATCTGGCATTCAGGCAAATATGTTTGAAAGATATTTAGATACGAAAAATAATCCATACATTTGAGAATCCATTATGTGAGTGAGGATTTGTCATGTATACCGGACTCTGAGGAGCACAGGGACTGGACTCCTGTTAGTGCCCAGAGTCAGAACTAAACATGGGGAGGCTGCTTTTCAGATTCATGCTGCTAAAATCTGGAACAGTCTTCCTGAAGATGTGAGACAGGCCTCCTCTCTGACAATGTTTAAAACCAGGTTAAAGACAGTTCTGTTTAGCTGTGCTACAACGGAGGGATTTTATACTTTTATCTTTCTTTTTAATGTTCTGTGATTATTTATGATTTTAATGCTATCTTGACTTTGAATTGCCTTGTGTATGAATTGTGCTATATAAATAAACTTGCCTTGCCGTGGATTTATTGTCCATTTTTAAAACAACAGTGTCTGTAATTGTGATTTAGTTTCTGTATTTATGAATTTTCCTGGTAATTGTACATCTTTCAAATTTAAACCAATTTCTACAATCAACTTTCAAAGCTTTCAGAGACAGTCAATACCGGGGTTAAAGCAAAAAACAAAGATTGACTGAAAATTTTCGCATGGATGGTAATTTATACACATTGTAAAATCACAGTAATATGCAGGACCAAGTTATAATTGTAATTACAATATATTATTGTATAATAGATTGTAATATTGAATACAGCTCAATATGAATTCATTCTAAGTATACAGTGTATTATGATTTTTTTTTATGAAAATATAAGTGGATCAAGCAAACGAGTTAAAACTTTTTGACAGGAATATTAGTGGGAGTAGCTTTACTTGAGGCAATATGGAGCGTCCACACTTTGGCTCTGTCCTCGTCCAAATTATTGGAAAAGGACGATAAATTTCTGTCCACATTTGTTTGAGTGGAACCGTCCAATATTTTAAGAAAAAGGTTTTCCCTATCAAGTTTGAGTGACAGTGCAACTTCGTTCAACTGACATAATTATTTAAATAAATCTACCACCGGTTAGTGAGATTTGAACTTTTTTATTTCTGCGTATAAAGCCACAGACACGGTCTGCCAGAGCAAGCCTTCAGTGTCAGTTGTTGCTGTTGCACCAGGTATAGATGAAGTGTTTGCACAAAACAGCTGCTTTGTGCGCAGTTTTTGAGCTGGTGGCGAATCAAAACTTTTTTCTCATTTACTCCCATACATGCAATTTTTTTATGGCAAAGTACGCACAAGCACCGGCCACTTTCATCTTTTCGCACCATGACTCATTGATTGGCTCTTTTACATCACGCTGAGTTTTGCAAGAAGATCGCAAACAAGACAATATCAAAAGCTCACCAAGACATGTTTGTCCCCATTCCCAGTTGCAGCAAAGTCCGTTTTGTACATTCCGTTAAGTAAAATAGCATTGCGTTTGGTAAACGTTAATTACCTTTCCTCTATTACGCGCCCAGCTTACCAGTCCGGTCAATACGGCTTGCAAATCCAATGATACTCTAAGTTTCTGTGGAAGAAGAAACACTGCATTTCTCTTCTCTGTAGATGTCCCAGTTCTTATCTATTCCTCTCCCCTTTCAGTAACATACACAAGACTGTTGTGAAATTAACAGCTATGTTAAAACAGATGTCATGCATTATCTAATGGTATTTATTTGAGATACTGCGGGTCTCTGAAAGTCCTTCACTCTGACTAACCTCACTGCTGGGCCAGTTATATTTTCTTTTACAATATGATGGAATAAACTATCCGTCTATGAGTGACACTCTTACCTCAGTCCACATTCCACATAATTATAGTTGATATTGGCTCAAAATGCACTCAACAGGATCCAACATTTGAGAGATTTGGCTAAGCTGGGAGGAGACGGTTTTACGCTGGCTGCAAGTCTAGTCCTGTGTGGTCTATCGCCGCTTATAAACATAAGCAATCAAAAGAAACTCCGGCACACAGAAGCCACCAGAAATGCCCATGCTGTCCAATCTGCTTTGACTAATTACCATAACCACATGTTTAGTGCCCAATGAAAGATGCTTGTAGTATGAGGTTTGTTTTTCCTTCAATTGGAGGCTTGGCGGCTCGAGCAGGCTGTTGACAGCTCAGCTCAGAACCATCTGAAGATCACGTGGCTCTCTTAGGAGCTCGGTCCTCGCCACTCACTTGTCGCATTTGTAAATTCAACAGATTTCCATAAATCTTCTGAGGTGAGGAACATAGCAGAAATAATCCGTAAAAATGTAGAAGGCGTCTGGGTACATGTGCTATGTGTCTGTCTGTTGATGGGGTCAATCACTATTTGGATATATCTCTACACATATATTTACACAACTTTGAGTCTAAAGATAGTTACACACTCCCTTGTACCATACACACAATTCCATCAATGAAGCAAATCTAACATTTTCTTCCACTTTTGTTTGTTATTTATATATCAATTATACGATGATGAGTGTAAGCATTTCCTGCATTTTCTCAGTATAACTCTTAAATATAGACTAAGACCAGAGAACACTCAAGGATAAAGCAGCTTCAGAGTGGCAGCACATCTCAGATAAGACCCAACAACAGCACACCCCAGTGGGCAGAGACAGCTCCAGTTACAGCCTCTCCTTTTATCTTTAACCGCCTGGTGTTGTCATCTCCCTGTGGGCCACAAAGACACTAGGCCCCAGGGGAACCAGTATAAAAGACTGGGCTACATCTTATCGGACATCTCTGGGGAGATTCCACCTGGCAAAAGCAGACGGACATGCACTGTAAGGGAAGTGATGAGATCTGTCTACAGCTGTGTGAGTCAAAGGAGAAAGTAGCTTATAAAAATACACACTAAGGCCTTGTGTATGCAAGTATTGTTTGGCATTTCAGTTTAAATACTGGGATAGGGGATTCTGAGCCCATAATCTTGAACATGTGTGAGTGAAAATCTCTTAACAACATATATGAAGCAACTCTGGTAACACTGTGTTGTAACTTTATTTGCGGTCTAAAAATAATGCAGATATAATAGGCTGCAGTCTTCTATGCTATACCCAAGATAGTATGTACATTTAAAGACCTCATTACTGAGCCACTGACAACATTCAAAATTTAGATGTCAATCAGGACAATTTATTTTCTGTTAAGCTAAAAAGCTTGGGGGGGAGTAAGCAAGTAATCTATCTATCTATCTAAATATATCAACATTAATGAATCACTAGAATCCCAATCTTGGTGTTTTTTTTCTTTATCATGATTAAAGAGTATGAAAAAGAATATTGCATATATCTTTTTTCACGACTGTCACGAAATTATCTTGTTAAGGCATGTTAATTAATTTTGTATTTTAATTGCGTTAAAAAATGAACGCATTTGACACATGCGCTGAATGACCCGCCCATGCATCCCATAATATCACTCAGAATGCCGCGGACATGTGCGTGTGTGAGATGGCAACAGAGCAGGTCTCTGGGAATTCAAGTTTTAAAAAAATACATGCGTGACCGCGGGGCACTTGCCGTTTGCTATGAACTTAAACGAGAATCCGCATCCTCCGTGGCCGCAGCGTTCTGACCCGGGGCAGCTGCGGCCGCTCTGGACAGCGGTTCCCACCTCCAGTGGCTGTGAGCCGCTAACAACAACACGCGCTGTAACGTGATCATATCCAAGACCATACATCCGCACAGAACTATTCTCTGCTTGTTGTGTGTTCATATCTTTGCGTAACCTGTGCACGCAATAAATACACCACTGAAGCTGGAGCCTCAGGAAGTGTCCGTGACTCCTCCGTTTCTCCAACCGAAATGCAACTAGACTCGCTAAATTAAAGCTGGGGTGCGTAATTTTTCCTTTGCATTAACAGTTCATGTTGGATGTGCCTAAAAGTAAAATGTTGTGAATCCAACAGATTTAATGATATTCTGCATTTCAGACAGTTTTGAGATGTCCCTGATCTGTAACAAACAATAGTTTTGGTCTGAGTCTACAACAGAAAGACAGAATGTTATATAATAAACAAATACAGTACATATGTACACTACGTTTTCATTTATCTTTCTATTCAAACAACCATTTACAGAAAAATAGGACATCATTTTGCCGATAGTTCAAAATGCGATTAATTACGATTCATAATTTTTTAAGCTGTAATTAACTTGATTAAAAAATGTAATCATTTGACAGCCCTACTTCATCATATATAGTTTTATTACTCATGGAAAAATCCAGTAATTGCTGCGGTTGAAAAACCCTTCTAGTGATAGGCATGAAGTATACCTATAGAGAGGAATGCCTAAAGTACAAGAATGCTTTGAAATGAAGTGTGACTGGAAGGGCTCAGAAGTCATAGGATAAAGTTAACATAAAGGACACGTTTTACCAGACAACAGAAAAGCAAAGCCAAAATCCTCCCTCTGTGGTAATGTTGCTAATCCAAAGGTATGCATTGCCCCCTATCAGAAACTATTTACAACTGCACAAGTTTATGCATCTTCTGTCTGACTTTTTACACAAACACATACACGTCTTTTCCAACTTATTCCCAACATAAAATATGTGAAATGTGCAAAAACAATGGAGACCAATACTTACCCGCTCCTGTCCCGCTGTGTCCCAGATGAGAAATTTGTGCAGCTCAGTCTGGTATTGCACGGTCTTTGTCATAAAGGAAGCCCTGTGAACAAGATACAAATACACTGTAATTAGTCATATAATTTTCAGTCCAAGGCGTCATCTCAATTAATGGCTGCAATATTGTGGCCAGATAACCTTTTTTTTTAGATGTTGCTAAACAAGATATAGTAATCTTTTTGTTACAAAGGGAATTCTTCTCTCTATGCTTCCCAGCAATAAGGTCCAGGGTTTGAGTCCTTGACCAGACAGGGCCTTTGTCTGTGAAGTTTGCATGTTCACCCGTGTCTGCTCCACTTTCCTCTGGGTGCTCCGGTTTCCACTAGCAATAATTTAATGTACAATAGACCCGGCATGCACCTCCTGTATCTTGTGTGGCGTACTAATGTATTTAATATAATGCCATAAAAATAATGTGTTTTCTTTAGTTGGATTGCATTGTGTTCTTTGTGTGCATTTTAGAAGATTAACTTTTGGTCACTAAATAAAAGGTTTATTGATTGAACTAAAGTTTAAAAAAAATTACCTTTAAATTTTTGTGTGTGCAAATGATCTAAGAAGACGGAAATCATGAGTATATAGTCTCATATGAAAGTGGAACTGAGAAGAGCCACAAACCCGATAGTTGGGTTGATGTTTGGATCGAAGCTGTCCTCAACAAATCGCCAAACAATACTTGACTTTCCAACTCCAGTCTCCTGAAAATACACAACAGAATGAATTGTGATTACAAAAAGATATACAAGATTATTCAAATTATAATCTACAGTAGTGTTGTCATCAAGCATCTTGCAGTTAGATCCAAATGAGACAACCCCCCTCTGTTTTTAATTAGCCCAAAACAATCAATATCAGTAATTTTCATTGAGCATATTGATGATGACTCACAGGTAATTTATAAATAATGGCACTAAACAAGTTTACCATGAGTAGACGTGAGATGTGCGGATACAGAAAGTAGCACACAAACAGAACTGAATTGTCACAGTTTTTAAGATGAGTTGATGCTGACTTACCCCCAGAAGACACACTTTTAATTCTCGTAGTGTCATACCTATCTCCTCTCTGGAATTTAGTGAGTGGCAGTGATGAGGAGCATTGGTGGCTTTCCACTGACTGACTACTTTTTTAGGTTCAATCCTTCAGGTGGTCGATCATTACGAGCGATTCTAATTCATTGTGGGTTAAGTCACCACAGACGCACTTCACATTAACTACTGATCTTCAGTTTCAAAATGCAGATTAATTCTCAGTATCCATCCTCTTGTGGATGTTGTAAACAGCTATCTGGGGCTAGCACTGCACTCGCTCCACCGCCATCTTGGATTACGGCATGAGATCACGTGACTGCGTCGGCTTTTTTTTGTTTGGACATACACACAAAGCCCAAAGCCTGTGTTTTTGCTCAGCTATGTGGAGTTTGTGCCAAAGCTGACCCTCTGTACCAGAAGCACCATTTGGGGGGGGATAAAAGAGTGACATTCTCCAGCATCAGGAAGTACTTTCAGGAAGTAGTTTTGTGGCTTTGAGTGACAGCTGTGCCTCGGTGACAGCCCACAGGACGGTACGGCACGGCAGCCCGCAGAGCCGAGCAGAGCCGAGCAGAGCCGAGCCGAGACTCAAGATGGCAGGTAACTGGACTTTTAACATTGTTTTCTTCACTTGTGTGACACGCCAGATGTTATATAGAGTCTAGTATATGTTGACCATTAAAATGTTCTGGAAATTGTGCCTCTAATCCCGTGTTGTGTGACTGGATTTGTGCAAAAAACAAAGGCAAGTCTTAGCTCTGGCAAGTCAGATCCAGCGAAAGGGCTGGACACGCCGCACTAGCAAACTTAGCGCTATTAGCCTGCTAGCTAACACACTCTCCTCCGTGAACACGAGCAATGCGTCTCAGGAAGTATTTAAAAGAGAACACCTTACTCTTTTTCTTGATTACTTTGATTAAATGTACAATTCTTGCAGTTCGCGAAGTGTGTATTATCGCGCTGTTGTTGAAGCAAAGGCTAGCTAGTGAACCAGGCTAACACTAGCCGAGGTGCTAAAGTCATTTTCTACCATGAGCTGTGCAACTCCTTCTTTACACATTAACAAAACCAAACGCATTTACACACAATGTCATATGTCACTCTGCAGCTGCTTCTGTGCCAAAGAGACTACACGTGTAATCCAGTTTAAAAGAACAAATAGTTTGCTCATTTTAATATGACATAATCTGTCTGAGCAGCCTTTTCACTTCAGCTGTAAACACTGGCTCACTACATGCTGCTTGTCTTCAGGCGTTTTCTGTTATTTTGTACCCCTAAAAAGTTACTTTAGTGAATCTGAGAAATCCTATGTTGTGAGGTATCATTGTTGCAAGGTACCTTTGGGTTATGTCATTCATGGTGTTATAACAGTGGTCAATTTTATCTGTTTTGATTGTTTTAATATACAACACATATAAATAACATAGCCCAAATTTTACCACAATGCACTTGATATTCAACACATCTAATGATCCAACCTTTAATGACTCATTTACCCTGGCTTTTAGTTTTCCTTTGTACTAAAATGTATCTTCCTTTAGGTCTATCTTTATATTTTGAAGATGGCCATGACGATTTGGATGACTGTGAGTACCACCAACACACATGATTCCCTGAACTGTATAGTTTGCAGAGCATGAAGAGATTATTGTCCTCTTTTTAGCAAGAAGTGTTATGGTTGGGTGTTATATGTCTTCACACCCCCTACTGCACTGTGAAATTTAGAGCTGTCAACAGTATTTCAACTTTCATGATGCACTATTATTATCTCTAGTATTACTATTACTAGAGATAATGCATATTTTTCTGGAGAAAATGCTTTAGGCTGTTCAGACTTTTCCCTTTGGCCTGTGCTTGTGTTTTGTAAGGAAATAAATATCTTTTTATTTACCTAATTTAAAAAAGATATTGAATTCCAATTTTATCTGGCAACAATGCCCTTGAAATGGTAATTAATAATGACATTTTCTTTGTGATTTTGATTTAATCTTTTTGTTTTATTAATCACTTTTCACCCTGTGTACAAACTGGGCTGTACAAATATAGGTGCCTTGAGTATTTTAAATTCAAGAAAGAAAATGTTGATTGACAGTGTTGCATTCTACTTACTACTGTCCTAGATGTGAAAGAAATCTTGTATTAAACTGACTATTTAAATTCACAGTTGGATTTGATGATTACGGTTCAGAGTGCGACAGTATTCGTATCACAGCATTCCTCGATGCGGGACAAGACAACCTCACTCCACTTGGGAGGCTTGAGAAATATGCCTTCAGTGAGAATGTTTTTAACAGGTGAGTCTAACTTCAGCAGATTTGTTTTGGTCTGGGATTTTGGGGATGTAGGTTGACGCTACTGGACAACCTGTTACAGCTCAATCCCCTGTGGTTCTCAAAAGGAGGCATCTGTCCTATGTTTGTAGCAAGGAAACATCTGTTAAAGTTAGATTTTATGGGTTATTCCAAGAACTTTTAATTTCACTGTCTCTACATTTCCTTTTATTATGCACTCACTGTTTTACTGACCGTCCATCCATCCATTTTCTTCCCCTTAATCCATTTCTGGGTTGGGGGGCGGCACGGTGGCTGAGTGGATAGCACTCTCGCCTCTCAGCAAGAAGGTCCTGGGTTCGAATCCCGGTCGGACCAGGGCCTTTCTGAGTGGAGTTTGCATGTTCTCCCTGTGTCTGCGTAGGTTTCCTCCGGGTGCTCCGGTTTCCCCTACCACTAAAAATATGTCCAATAGTTCTAGCATACGCCTCCTGTACTGGCCCCGCTCCCATCTCTGTGTGGAGTGAGAGACAAATGCCCAAAATTAACAATTGTAAACCGCTTTGAGACTCAGATCTGCAGTGAAAAGGCGGTATATAAATAAAGATTACTACTACTGCTACTACTACAGTCAGAGCTGCACCCAGTACACTTAGCACCAGCCCCTCACTGATCCTCCTGCAGGTGGTGAGTCCACAAGAGCTGAGATCTTTCATTTTACTGACCGTGTTTGCCTGAATAAAAAAAGAAGCTCTATTCTATTATTAACTGAAAAATGTCAACTTCCAATTATGCACTTGGTAAGGCATGCCTGCATACCTGGTTATTTACTAAGTGCATAACTGCTAAATTGAATGGAGCAATGCAGTGCAACGACAATTGTATAAATTGAGCAGAAGACACACACAATCTACCATTATGTTCTGCTTCAGTGAGGGCAATGATTACAAATGAAGTTATGAGCAGATATGTGCAGCCCAATTATTACTGTAATTTTATAGAGTAATGTTTCTTCTCCAGTTTGCCATTAGTCACACTTGTCTGTTCACTTACAAAATCCCGTTGGGTTCTCGTCTTGGTTTTCATGCTGAACCTGGTGTTGCGGTTTCCAAGTACAAAAGCGTGTAATGAACTTGACAGCTCTGACGGTTCAGTGTTAACTCTGCTCTTGTAGGTATTGCAGACTCTTTACCCACTGACTTTGGATCCCTTTTGCTTTCCAGGCAAATTGTTGCTCGCGGCCTCCTTGATGTGCTGCGTGAGTTCAGCGACAACGAGAATGACTTCATCAGCGTGATGGAGACAGTAGCTCGAATGTCGGAGGATGGAGGTTGGAAAATTATTCTAACTGATCTATGTACTCTGATAAATAAATGTGATCGTACAATATAAATGTCTTAATTAATACATATTTGAAACACTATTATTATTGCATTCCCATGTTGTGTGTAAGTTATAATAATAGAATAATTGTATTTTATGTTAAACACGTTTGGAAAGATGGATACAGTCTTGAATGCCTTTTTTACATTGAGAACAGCTTTTGACACTGTCTAGTTCAGTTTCCCACAAATCTCACTTAAGACTGATGGCACATGTGATGCTATACTGTTCATACAGTACAGTACATGTTTATTATGTATTCATTTAAACAAAAAAATAGTACAGTGTGAGGATTCACCATGCAGACCTCATATTATTTTTCTGTATTTCTTTCAGAGCCAACAGTTCGTGCTGAACTCATGGAGCAGGTCCCAAACATAGCGATGTTCCTCCACGAGAGTCGACCCAACTTCCCAGCTGCCTTTTCCAGATACTTGGTGCCCATCGTGGTGCGCTATCTCACAGACCCCAACAACCAAGTGAGTCTTTCTCTACCGCAATTCACACCAGGCCCTTTTTTAATAACGTTTTAGTTCTTTTATAATGGGCCCCATTATTGTTAACAACATCTTAAACATTTGAAGATTCATTCTGAAAATATTTCACCAAAAAGATTGTCTTTGGTCTCTTGTTTTCGTCCTTTTCCAGGTGCGTAAAACAAGCCAGGCGGCACTGCTGGTTCTTCTGGAGCAGGGTCTGATCTCCAAAGCAGATATGGAGTCCAAAGTGTGTCCTGTTCTACTCGACCTCACAGAGCCGCGCTGCGATGATGACTACAAAATTGAGGCAGTGGCTGTGAGTAAACGTTCTCAAACAAGCCTTCGTCAAAATAATCCAGTGCTTTTTACACACACATTTGTATTTGTAGATTATTTCATAAAGTACAATAATCATGCACACCTAATGCCCCCAATTTACTTTGTTAACTCCTTTACAAAATCTTGTACAAGTTAATGACAAGCAACGTGGGTAAGCATGGCTGTAGTGTGGCCAAAACGCCACTAGGACACTCAAGTTTCTGTTGGGTTGAATTGAAGTACAAGTCACAAGTATGGATTTCTCTCCCCCCACTATGGCTTGAACGGAGTTTGCATTGCACCTATTAACGATTGTCTCTTGTCTCTGTCTTGTGATAATACGCTGCTCTTTTTCACTGTAGTAATATTACAATCTTCTTGACAGATTATGTGTAAAGTAGTGACCATGCTGAGCAAAGACACAGTGGAGCACCTCCTCCTTCCGCGCTTCTGTGACCTTTGCTGTGACGCCAGGCTCTTCCAAGTTCGAAAGGTATCGAACGGCACATGACCAAAAATGTATTGATTTTTAGATCTGACAATGAATCAATTTCCTGGTTTCCACCGTCGGAAATGTCTTCTTTGTACAATCAGAATGTTATTGGTTTCTTTGGACAAAATACTAACAATATGTAATAACAGTTTTTATTTGCCTCTAAGCTTCAGTTTACTCGTTTATTTGCATGTACTGTATATGTACAATATGCTCATTTCCATTCAATCAACAACTTATCTTTTCCTCTTAGGTTTGTGCTGCTAATTTCGGCGAGTTCTGCTCAATTGTTGGCCAAGAGGCAACAGAGAAGTTACTGGTAAGAAATGACATGAATCTTTGGGGTTAACGTTGGCGATGATTTGGTTTGTAATGAGTCATGTGGGGAGAAGTATAAGTTTCTTCTGTATTTATTTTCTTGAATCTATGTATTTATCTATATTTTTCTTTACAATTTGTTTCCCAGATGCCCAAGTTTTTTGACCTGTGTTCGGACAGTCTGTGGGGCATCAGAAAAGCGTGTGCCGAGTGTTTTATGATGGTGTCAAACTCCACCTCACCAGAAGTGCGACGCTCAAAGTTGTCCCCGCTTTTTATCAATCTCATCAGTGACCAGTCCCGTTGGGTAAGTCACATGAGCTTGACTTCCTCAACACTGTTTGAAGTAATGGTTGTGAAAGTGCCATGACACAACTGATTTTCTTGTTCCCAGTTTTAAATATCAACGTCATAACTTCTTGTGTTTCTTGGTGTTTAGTTTTTTTAAGTACAGTGTCATAATTTGAAAAGATTTATTTTAAACTTTGATTGTGTCTACACTTTAGGTCCGACAAGCTGCCTTTCAGTCACTAGGCCGCTTTATCTCCACCTTTGCAAACCCATCCAGCACAGGCCTTCACTTCAGAGAAGACGGAGCTCTTCTTGAAGTCCCCAGGTGCACAGTAGAGTAAGTGTCAATATTGTGAAAAAAAACAAACTGTAGAATTTACTTGAAAAACTTGAACTAAAAGCGTGCCCTAGGTGAAAAATATGAATACCAAGCCTTGACAACAAAAATGTGTCTGGGGATGAGACAAAGCAGCTCTGTGATTTAGGGAATTGTGGGACATGCAAGTGATGAGTTAAAGATGCAGTCAGTGATTTTTTTTATTTTTATTTTTTTTATTTTTTTTTCCAGACACAAAATTTAATAACAAATATTTTGGAGCGGAATGATAAAAATAAACCAATGGGATGCGTTTACCCCCTTCACCCTCTTCCTGTTTCTCACAAGTGCACCTGAGTTATCGGATTTTCTAAAACCTAAAAGGGCTGAACAGAAAATGCCAATTTCACGTTTGCCGCCCACTCTCCCTGTTGTGACAAAGAAACAAAAATGCTGGATGTTTGGTTTAGTGGAGAGGCGAGGGGGGAGCGGTTTCAAGTTGGTGCTACGGCTAAGCTAACAAAATGGCTTACTTTACCTTTTATCACAGAGATAGTGCATTAAATTGCCTACCCCTACAATAAATAAAACAAATGTGTACTGAGATCATTTATATATTTTTTCTTTCTTTAGCGATTGTTCCCCGAATTCCCTGAACTGCCCGGACCTGGGCATGCACCACAGCGAGAGGACCATTGCCCACACGCCCCCGAACCAAGATGGCCGCGCCACGCCATCTCCAGAGCGCTCGCTAACAGCGGACCGCGAGGACATGCACACCTATGACTACAACCACCACCACGCCCACCAACACCACCGCACACAGGAAAGCTTTAGCCACAATCACCTCAACAACACCAGCACCACAGACAATGAGCAGACAGACGAGAACTTTAACTCATTCCACTACTGGAGGCCGCCGCTACCGGACATCAGCGACGAACTGGAGATGCTAACGACGACCACGGCAGGGGAGGGGAGCGAGGCGGAGACACGGGACGAGCCGCCAAAGCAGCAGAAGCGAGCAGTGGCAGAAAGCTTCAAGTACGACCTCAAGTCCAACTCCACCACGGACCAGATACAGAAGGTCTTGGATTGTTTGCAGCCGCACATAGACGACCCAGATGTGCAAGGTGGGGCACTGAATACGATATGAAGCTGCTGCTGTTAATGTTTCATATTGTTTGTTTGTGTTTCCATTTTGTAGATACAGATTTAGAGCATAACTTGGTGGTTCATATTGTGCAACCTTAAAATGTGAATGATCAATGGTTTTGCAAATGAATGCCCTCAAACTTTGACTATTTGGCTTGAAACTAATCGATCAGACATGTTTTCTAGTTTGCCCAAACCATCCTATAATTGAAAAAACAAATCCATAAATGTATATGTTTAGTAAACGGTTATGAACCTCGTTGAAATAACATTGACCAAAATAGGTGAAAGGGTTTTTACATCCTGAGAAATATGGAAAACCGATGACAAACAATAAGTTCATGGAAGTTTTCTTTGTCATTGTCAGATTCACTGAAATCCACTTTAGCATGTCTGATGTTATAACAGACTTCAATATGGCTTTGAGATTTAAAACCAAATGGTGGTTATTACATATTTACAAATTAAAAATTAAAATCACAAATATTATTCTGTGTTCTTTTAGATGTAATTGTGTTATTGTGTTTTTGGTTGTTGTTGTAAGTCTTATTTTGCTTTCACTTCCCCGCAGCCCAAGTTCAGGTGTTATCTGCCGCCCTCAAAGCAGCGCAGCTCGACAGCCCCACCACGGAGAGCTCGTCCCAGGACAGCGACTCGGACAGCCCCTCCGATGAGTGCAAGTCCATGGAGCTGGAGGAGAGCGAGAGCGACAGTCCCACGGAGGAGAAGACCCTGGAGTCCCCCGTCACCAGCCCCGAAGCCGCTCCCGAGTCGAGTCCAGAGCCCGCTGCTGACCCCTGTCCTGAGCCTTCTGAACCCTGTCCCGAGTCCACCCCCGAAACCTGTCCCGAGGCCACTCCCGATACCTGTCCCGAGTCCACTTCTGAGTCTACTCCCAAGGCCTGTCCCGTCCAGGAGCAGGGAGGTGATGATGGGGACGGGAAACAACTGGATAACCAGGAAGAGTCACCGCCGAATTCACCACTTCTGGTACGACCACTTTAAATCCAGTTCATCTATCTATGGTTCTAAGTCATGCCTCAAGTGGGTAAACAGCCAATGTCCATTTTCCATCAATGTTATTATTATTATTATTATTATTTATATATATTTTTTTTGTATTATTGGTGCATTCTTAGCCTGGCCTTAGCCAATCGTACACTCCGGTCAATCATCGTTCTCTGCATGTAATTTGTACTACGGTGTGGTACAACCAGGCTAGGGCATTCTAGGTAACTGATTTTCTTCCAATCTGAATCCATATATTTTTCATAAACATAGTGAGAAATGGATTCAACAAAGGTCATATCCCAATAAAAATGCCTTTTTGTTGCTGAAAATTGACACTATCAATGTCCATCCATCCATTTTCTACCCTTTAATCCATTTCTGGGTCAGGGGGGTGACAGTCAGAGATGCCACCCAAGTCTCATAGCACCAGCCCCTCACTGACCCTCTGCAGGTGGTGAGTCCACAGGAGGATGGCTGCTCTGAGTGTGAGCATAGCCTTGATCTTTCAGTGGGGGCTTTGGGCAAAGTGGGGTTAAGTGTCTTGCCCAAGGACACAACGACAGCAGTCATCAGTGGGAGTCGATGGAGAAGGTGCAGAGAGAATTGAACCCACAACCTTCTGGCCTTAAGGCCAATGCTCTACCAACTGAGCTACTGTCGCCCCCCTATCAATGTCTGTTTCGTAAATAGTCTGAACACAAGTGGGAAATCATTGCTCCTAGTGCTAAGAAGTCAACCTGGAAACTCTCCCATCATTTCACTCACTTTTTTTCTTCAGTCAATCATTATCCCCCTGTAGTAAGAATCCCCATTTGTTTTATACCAAAACAACATTTGATAAGATAAGAGAACCTTTATTTGTCCCACAGTGGGTAGATTTGGATGTTGCAGCTCACACACAGAACACTAGTAAGAGCACACAAGAACACACATAATATACAATACACACAAGAACACAAATAATATACAATACACACAAGAACACAAATAATATACAATACACACAAGAACACAAATAATATACAATACACACAAGAACACAAATAATATACAATACACACAAGAACACACATAATATACAATACACACATAATATACAATACACACAAGAACACAAATAATATACAATACACACAAGAACACAAATAATATACAATACACACAAGAACACACATAATATACAATACACACAAGAACACACATAATATACAATACACACATAATATACAATACACACAAGAACACACATAATATACAATACAAGTAAGGCCTCTTAACTTGGTGTAAATCCGAAGTTGAAGTTTTGAGCGTGGAAAAAAACAGTTCTGTCTCCACTAAACCTTGATAATATTGCATGCTACAACATAATTGCAGCACGTTGACAGGCATATCTTCAGGATCTACCCTCTCTTTTCCACAGGAATCCGAGCTCATCGAGAGCATCGAGGACGAGGGCATCGAGGATTCGGCTCACAGCCCCACGTTCGAGGAAAAACCGAAAATCCAGGTCTGCCCATCTTCCATAGATCCTTCTTACTCACGATACTGATCTCTGCTTTCTCTGCCACTCTGTCTTCTCTCTCACTGCGCTGACGTTGCTTTTGCGTGTTGCAGAATGTGATTCCGCAGCAGCTCTTGGATCAGTACCTCTCTATGACAGACCCGGTGCGTGCTCAGACGGTGGACACGGAGATCGCCAAGCACTGTGCCTTCAGCCTGCCCGGGGTGGCCCTCACGCTGGGGAGGCAGAACTGGCACTGCCTCAAAGACACCTACGAAACATTGGCCACAGATGTACAGGTAAAGAACAGAGTGGGGTCCGGTATAAGCCAGTGGACTGAACACTGCAACAAGCTTTGTGCAAGTTTTTTGTGTTTATCCTTGAGTTATCAGACGTGTTTATTATTTGTTGATTACTGGCAAGGCAATTTTGGCCGTGTTGTGGCTCACATGCATTGCAGTAAAAAAATCAATTTCTTTTTAAGAGTTTTAATGTTTCTTTCAGTTTTATGTTTTTTCTGGCAACGCAAAGCATTCCCCATGAAAAAAAGTATGCGTTAGGTTGCATCTTCAAGCTAAAGTGAGGGATCAATGTAGTCCATCTTTTTAAACATATTTATACTTGATGTGGGTAACAGTGTAAATCCGTGGTAATCGTTTTGGTAACATCCTGTGTCCAGTGGAAAGTGCGGCGGACTCTGGCCTTCTCCATACACGAGTTGGCCGTGATCCTCGGAGATCAGCTCACAGCAGCAGACCTGGTCCCGATCTTCAATGGTTTCCTCAAAGACCTGGATGAGGTTCGAATCGGCGTGCTCAAACATCTCTACGACTTCCTCAAGGTACAAGCTGCACAACCTTAACCCTAAGTGTAAAAAACTATAAGAAGAATTCTTATTTTCTGAATTTTGTGATTCATGTCAGATGAATTTGACCAGCCACTTTGAAAGGCCAGTTCTTATTCATTTCATTTTGCTGTTGGGATTTTTGTCAGAAGAAATGTCACAATTGTATGAACTTTTGTCAGACATGGTTCTTGTTTCATCAAGCTGCAGACAACCATAGTCTCTCTGTAGGAATGGACAATGCTAACCCATTTTTAGGAACAATCTCATGGGCGTGTTATTCTTCCTCTAATACGAGTCATAGTCGGGATTTTTGGATCTGTTATATAAATATCTACATGATCCTGGTGTTTTTCATTTTGACATTTTACGTTGTGAATTCAGATATGGCCTTGTATATTTGACTAATCGGGTGCAATGTTCCTCGAACTTGGCTTTGGCTAGTAGTGAGTAGCGTGTGCGTGAGCATTTGGCTCAAGCCCCGGTGATCCAAGATGGCGCCGTATTCAAATGAATGGCTTGTGCCCAGTAGCGCATGGGACATCACGGGCGCTGACATATTAGCGGAACTCGCCTATGTTTGGGCATCGTCTGGTCCTCCCGATTCTGCGCAGTGGACGAGCTCCCATGATGCATTGCGCCAAATACGTGTGTGTGGCTTTCATGCACGTGCACAGAGGGGCTCGGCTGCGCTTTGACCAATTAAAGCTGCTGATCAGAGCAGCAAAAGAGCGGAGTCAGAACGGGAAGGAAACAAGTAGAGTTTGTTGCAGTAAAGCGTGGATTTAAAGAAAACCGAAGGATTTAAGAAGAAAAAAAAGTTCAGGATGACAAGGAACACTAAAATACCCATGAAATCCGATCTTTATGAAAGCTGTAGGTTCTCTGTCAGCTGAGGCCGAGCTGTTTTAGTTTACATTGAGATCTATGGGGAAATTTCTGGGTTGCCCACTTGAATTTAGTCTGCAGTACCACGGGCGCCTCCTTTGCCCATGGGTGGCACAGCTATAAGCTAATAATACTCCATCCAGATATTATAGATCAATGATATGGCTCCACATTCCCGCTGATTCCTGTTTGAGTTTTCTCTGAGCAGCTTCTTCAGCAATAAGGCAAATGCGTGAGGTTTGATATATGTATCTGATTCTGCAGAAAGGCCAGTTGTTGCCACTGCTATAAACCAACAGCACAAGCTAACCCCTCTCTTCCCGTGCTTCCTTTAGCTTCTCCAAGCCGATAAGAGACGAGAGTACCTGCACCAGCTGCAGGAGTTCATGGTCACAGATAACAGCCGCAACTGGAGGTTCCGATACGAGCTGGCAGAGTACGTCCTCCGCATTTCACACTCACAACTCAACTCTTAATCTTATTATGCTACAGTCAGGGGTTGTTTATACTCAGTTCTTTCTTTTCATCCTGCTAAAGTTGGAGGTTTTTATTATTATTATGAGATAGATTTTATACTGCTTCTTTTTATGTTGGTTAGAGATTTTATTTTAGTAAAGAGTTATTGTTTGTTTATCTTGTGCTGTGTGCTCCTCATGCCTACTGTTCTGTCACCTGTGATGCAACACTGACATTTCCCCACTGTGAGACTCATAAAGGATCTGATGAAATAGACAGTTTAGAGAAGAAGGAATGCTGTCGAGCGTGAGGGTATTGTATGTTTAAAAACGCTGTAGTCGAGTGATTTTCAGTATTTTAGAGCCATTTACAAACTGCAGTCACAGGGAACCGGGAAACCTGCATTTTAGTCTGTGCTGCCTCTCTTACTTACCAACTTTGAGCTTTCCTTTTTCATAATGTGATTATTAAAACGGTGTGGTTATGTGGATGTAACACTTGCTTTTCACTGCTGCTATGAATATTTTGCTAAAACTAGAGAAAAACCCGTGCAGGACGACAACAAATCTACTCAGATATGTCGCCTATTTTAGTTTTGATATATGATTTTGTTCTTGCCTTGTAGGCAGCTGATCTTGATCATCGAATTGTACAGCCACTACGACGTGTACGACTACCTCAGACAGATCGCGCTCACACTGTGCTCAGACAAAGTGTCGGAGGTGCGGTGGATCTCCTATAAACTGGTGAGTCCGCGAGTCTACAGCTGTATTGTCTGTCCCCTGTTCGTATCAGGCACATGCTTCTGATATGGTCAGAATGTGTCACTTTGTCCCACACCCTCGTGCTGCTAACCTGTACAAACGTATACCCACACATAAGCAAGTTTCTTCAGCTCAATCCTTTTTTTTTGGGTTGTAATAAGTGTAATCTGTTTTTAATCTGACAATTGACCAAAGTAAATACATTCATTTACACTGGCCCAAACAATCTCTGACCCTACACCTCTCTAATACACTTCCTTTCCTCTACGTACTTCTTTTGGATCTAAAATTGTATAAGTGTAACTATATATTACTTGCATTAGAACCCACAGCACTTTAACTCATTGACTGCCTGCCGTTTTGGATGATTTCACTAATTCTCAAGAGACCCACGGAATGTAATTTCCCTAAGACCTTGTGAAATATGAAACCCGATTGTGAAAGACTGGATTGTCTACTTTGATCAGCAAAATTAACTTTGTTTCTAGCTATTTTTATTGTCCTGTAATCCCCAGTCGAATAGAGGGTCTCAGACAAATACGTCAATGGCAGTCAATGAGTTAAAATTGCTTGTTATTATGCTAAAGTCAGAGATTTTGTACTGCTTCTTTTTATGATGGAGTTAGATATTTTAATTCACTTAGTATAGAGTTTATATTTTCATGTATCTTGTGCTAATCTTATGCTCATTAGTCCAGCATTTCCAGCGTGAGCCGTGTATCCAGGTGGCGATAATGATATTGGCCTCTATATGTCAGGACTTTGTTATGTTCCTTATTCTCTTTGACAAAGCACAGAGCCCGGTGATCTCATGACAGTAATGAGACACATGCTGCGTGGAACCTGCAGATGGTCTCATGTGTCGCGACCAGCGCAGAACCTCTGGACTCGTATGACACTGGGGATAGAGCTCTTGTATAATGGACAATTCATGGTTGCTTTTAAAAGTCTTCAAAGAAAAAATTAAAACAGTCATGGCTTGTATTCACCAGTCCATTGCTACCATTTTTTGTTCAGAATTTTTTTGCAATGAGGGCAAAAAGTAGGCTGATCTGTAGTCAACAGTAGTGTCCTTGAAGGGGCATCTCTGGGAAAGCTTGTCCATATAACCAGCGCTCTAGAGTTAAAGGTGCAGTAAGCGATTTTGTTAGCTTAGCCATAGCACCAACTTGAAACCACTCCCCCCTCCCCTCTCCCCCAAACCTCAGGTGCGCCAAGCCCTGGTGATCCAAGATGGCGCCGTATTCAAATGAATGGTTTGTGCTCCGTGGCGCATGTGCCGGCACGGGCGCCGAAAGATTAGCGGAACTTGCCTATATTTGGGCATCGTCTGGTCCTCCCGATTCTGCGGCGTGGACGAGCTCCCATGATGCTTTGTGCCAAATACGTGTGTGTGGCTGTCATGCACGTGCACAGAGGGGCTTGGCTGCACTCTGACCAATCAGAGCTGCTGATCAGAGTGGAGCTAGAGCGGGAGCCAGACGAGCAGAGTTTGTGGCAGTAAAGTGTAGATTTAAAGAAAACCGAAGGATTTAAGAAGAAAAAAAGTTCAGGATGACTTTTTTTCAGGAACACTAAAATCCCCACAAAATCCGACCTTTATGAAAGCTGTAGGTTCTCTGTCAGCTGAGGTTCAGCTGTTTTAGTTTACATTGAGTTCTATGAGGAACATTTCTGGGTAGCCCACGTGAATTTAGTCTGGTTTTGTCTGCAGTACCGCGAGAATCCCCCGAGTACATGGCTCCAAGCTAGTAATACCCTATCCAGTTATTATAATAGATCCATGAGGTGCACGCACTCGTTAGAAACAGGAAGAGGGTGAAGGGGATGAACGAATCCCATTGGTTTGTTTTTTTCACTGCGCTCCAAAATATTTTTTATTAATTTTTGGAGAAATCTAGTCAATTCCATTACTATTTGAAAGCACGTGATAACTTGACTACTTTTAGGGTTTAGGGACGTACACGACATTTAAAAAAATGCGTCTGGAAAAAATTCCTGACTGCATGTTTGAGCAGAGTAAACTCCAGTTCAAAGTGAGTTTACTCTTGATCTACTTTTTTCTTCATAATTCTTTATTGCTGTCTGTTTCCAGGTGGTGGAGATCCTTCAGAAGCTGTACGCAAGCGGAGCCGATGATTTGGGCGTGAACTTCATCAACGAGCTCACCGTTAGGTTTTGTCACTGTCCCAAATGGGTGGGACGACAAGCCTTTGCCTTCATATGCCAGGTTTGTACCTCCTGTGTACGTGCAGAGGCAGTTTCTCATTTATTTCTTAAAGCAAGTCTTTCCAGAGGATACGATGTAAGCTAGCTATGTTCACCCAGGCTTGATTTCTTCTTTGATCCTTTTTTCACTTTAGTTCCCTCTTCTCTTCCTCACTATTGTGTTGTTTTGCTGTGTCTGCAGTTACAGCAAGAGGAGTTATAGCCAATTCTGCTAACATGCTACTGTGTTTAGCAGCGCTGTAGAGGCTGGAGGACTTGATTTTTTTTGTTCCTTGTTCTGTGATTGGAGGAGAGCGGGCGTCACGCAAAGTCTATACTCAGCACTTTTTACGGTCTAAATTCATACAAAGCTGAATCAATGAGCTCAAGTTTTAAATTAAATTAGTATTAGTAATTAGTATAGCATCTTTAAACTATATGCAATACAATACAATTTATTCTTGTATAGCCCTAAGTCACAACAGAAGTCATCTCTGAGGACTTAACAAAACCATTGAAATCACCAACACAGGTCAGAGAATCAACAGTTAAAATATAAAGCACACAAAAAAAATAAAAAATACACACACACACAGCATTGCCACAATATTGGACTTTTTTAGGTGCAAAATTTGTCTCGTCCGTCCAAGAACAATGCACTCTGACTCATTAACCAGTGAGTGCTCGGTTACACTTATGTCTCCTCATTCCTCTCCCCTCCTGCCCCGTGACTCACCCCCCTCCTTTCCCCTGTGCATGACTTGACTTGTATGGGTTTTTTTCTCTTCCTTCTCTTTCTAGGCCATAGTGGAGGAGGAGTGCATGCCCATGGATCAGTTCAGCCAGCACCTCCTCCCGAGCCTGCTCAGCCTGTCGTCGGACCCGGTGGCCAACGTGCGCGTGCTGGTCGCCAAAGCACTGCGTCAGAGCGTCATGGAGAAAGGTGAACCAAAATAATGGAACCGTGGCAACTGATTCTTTTAGAGTTTCACAAATCAAAAGGCTCTGGGTTGGGCGGAGTCCAGTTTTAAAGTAGGGCAGTGTTGGAATTCCACAGTAATCACCGTGACTGAGCTTTTCCATCATATTTAGAGTGCATGAGTTTTGAAAGAATAAACAGATCTGCCTCAAGTTAAAAAGAATAGTAATTGTGATTTAAGGCGATAAAACGCTAAAGACATGGGGAAGTCCGGGAGTAAGTACAGGTAGAGGCTTCTCGACCTATCACGGCCCGAGCATGAACCGCAAGGCCTTCTGGGAAATGCAACATGGGAAAAAAATGGCAACGGCTGGCTAACGAGGAGGAATGAGTGCGGCAGCAAGAGAGGAAATTGTAGATAAAAAAGGAACAGTCACGTCACCAGTTTGGCAGGATTTTGGATTTTTAAAGTCCAAGGTCGCCATCCATAGAGAGGCTGGGAACACGACACATTTGTTTTTTAGGGTTAAAAACACAAATCAATAATTACATCAACTGATATGAAACACTTTTATTGTGACATATCGCTCCGCCATATATCGCTCAGCCCTAATTGTGATGATAGTGGTCTGTCTTGTCATGAAAAAACAAACAATTCAATGTGTTTGTTTTTCTTGGAGAGCTTAAGAAATGTATCAAATCACCAACAACAAATGGTCAAACACAGAAATAGGATGAGAACAAATAAGCTTAGAGCTAGATGATGAAAAATGTCCATAAATGTCATGAATAACAGTCATTTTGGCACTAAGCTCATGTGAATCTTGCAGCGTACTTCAAGGAGCCGGGCTGTGCCTACTCTGACGAACTGGAGGACACGGTGATGGCGCTGCAGTCGGACAAGGACCGAGACGTGCGCTTCTTTGCCAGCCTGGACCCAAACAAAAACCTGGCAGACACCGCGCCCCTCATCTGAACCCCTCCCCCCTCCACAGACTCGCAGCGGACCCCACGCTGTCCGTCAAACTCCTACAGACGTTTACCACAACACCAGCAGCAACCTAACCCGTCAGAACCCGCTAATCATGAGGTCCACACAAACTCTGGCCTCGGGCTCCCATCAGGCGTCACATCCAAACAATAACAAATGTATTCAGAGTTTTTAGACAAAGAGCAGGACTCGTATTATAAACTTTTGAACTCAATCCCTTGTTTTTCCCGTTCTCAAACTAAACGCTTTCCCATCCCAAAAGCTAACCGTGAGATGGATTCATTATGTGGATTTCTTTATCGCTTGAATCTCGACGTGTTGTGCACTAACTCAGGGGGACCTGTCTGAACTGAAAAAAACATAAGCAGTGGAAAAAAAAAAAAATGCAAGCATATCGTCCCGCTTTATGTTGAGCCTCTGAGCAGCGAAAATCAAGTAGCTTTTGTGTTTTTTTTTTGGTGACTGTATTGTTTTTAACTGAAATTCATGTTTTGTTTTTCCAGTTGTTAATTTGTTGTCTTCATTTTACACTTGAGTAACCACTACTTCATTACTCTAAATAAAACAACATAATTCTATCACATCAGACGACCACTTGGATCGGCCCAAATTGAGATATTCCAAAAGTAATCCGTATTGGACCGACCGAATATTACTGCGGATTTTAAATTTGTTTTTCTTTTTTAATTTGTTTATAGAACAGTGTTTTTCTTCATCTATTTCCAGCCACGCCTAGGGCACTGCGTGTGTCAGTTCAGAAGTATACTTGATTAGCAGAACGTAACGGGCTAGACATTCTTCAAACTTGAAATGAATCGCTCATTACCAGATGTAACTGTTGAAAGGCAGATTGTCTTTTGCCTTATTTGCTTTAAGTTGACTATTGACATGATTTCTATCTTTGAAAAATTCTGCCATTCTGATAAATTATACATAACTAAACAGATATTGACCTCCCATAGTTTTGAAAGTGACTACTACTTTTACAATTGGCAATTTTTTTGTTTTTGACCCAGCTGTTATTTTTTTTTCTACCCATTAAACAATGTGACTTGATCCACCCATTTTCAGGACATGTACCGGAATACCTCTGCTTGTACTTGATGGCCAGTGAGCGCTGAATATTGGTGATGGGCAAATGGTTTAAGTTGTAGCGGTTTTTAACATCTCTTAACAAGGGCTCGTGTTGGATGGACAGGGTCAATGATGTTTGAAATGAGCACATGAGTTTGGGATGCGCACGCCTTTGTCCCGCCCGGCCTCATTTGTGTATAGTCAATCCCATGATGGTTGTGGATTCAAAGTGTACAGTAGGTAGCTTTTTATTATAGCGAAAAACATGTAAAGCAGGTGATCTTTCCCTGTCAACGTGGAGCCATTTTAAAGTATGAGTGTTCTCAAATGTTGTACAGCGTTTAACCTGTGGTATGAGGTTTTTAACCAGGGCCAGTTTGAGTAAGTATACTACAGTATGCTGAAGTATACTAAAGTATACTATGGGCCCAAAAGATGGTGCGTGGTTATTGGGAGCAGTCACCGAGTCACTTTTTGTCTTTGGAGCTTTTTCTTTCCTTGTAAAAATGACCCGTCTTGAGGACCTTGAGCTGATTGTGCTGTGCATCTAATTTTTTTTAAAGTTCATTAAGGTTTGAGGCCACTGCAGTGAACGGCACTCATCTCGTATGTCTGCGACCTGTGTCCATCTCATTTTTTATGTAGTAGAACAGTTAATATATACATTTTATGAAAAATATTTTTCTTTTCAATTATGCACCACTGCTAAAAGATTTTATATCCTAACTTTACAAAATTTACAATCTTTTTAATATTCAATGGTTTCATTGAAAATACATTTTATGTAATGTTATTTTTAGTATTCTGTAATTAAAATGATGAAAATTACAAATGTGTCACTTTTTGTAGGGGACAAAACATTCGCAAGTTGCACATTTATAAAACTTTTGTTACTCAGGGATTTTATTGCCATAAACAAACTATGTAGGTTTATTTTCTTTCAAATATTTCCTGCACAGACATGTAAATCACTAATGTGCACAAACAGAATAAGGTTTGCAATGTTTGGCAATCATGTGTTATTTAATTGCTTTGAACAATATCTCTTCATAATGATTTCACTTATAATCTGGCTATCTACAGTTTAAAACTTAAACCTTTATCATTTTATTTTTTGAAAAAACAAAAGTTTCCTGTCCCATGTCGTCCTGCCAAAACTCTGCACCAACTCCATACCACAATGCTTTTCTAAGTATTGTTTGGCATGTTCAGGCACATCTCCTTTAATTCCTAGAGTCTTAAAATGGTCAAAGTCTGGACTGCCCAGTTTTCTCAGTCTTCGTGCAGCAGAGCGGTAACACTTCCAGGGCTGGGCTTCCAGTAAAAGGTGTTGAGAGCAGGAAGACAGGTCAAAAAGCAGCTTGAGCAAACCTGAATCCCCATGATTTAGATGGACCCACATAGTCACAGCCAAACACAGACAAAGGTGGAATCGAGAGCAGCCATGTTGTTTGAGGTAGTCCTGCAGGGCCTCGGCATCTGATGTAATGTCCAAGTGAATGAAGGCGATATTGTTGGGAAAAGGGTTGGTCTCGTTGGCTCTCTGGATTAAAGTCTCGTCCAGATCAAAACCCAGAATGTGCACAGCTTTGCGAGACTTTTCTTCTTCTGTCATGGATGTCTGGAGGTGCTTGTAAAATGCCACTGTCAGCTCCTGAAATTTAGAAGCATAATTACAGATCCCAGTGTTGTTCTGCGGACGGAATAGTTTTTTTTAGTGTATATATATATATATTATACATGGTTCAACACATTCATAACAACACTAATGGATAGACACAGATAAAACCAAGATCGAGAACAAGTAATCTATTTAACTTTCGTATATGTGTCACAGTTTTAGAACCAGCTTCCCTCTTACCCCAGAGTTGCACCCCACGTCCAGAATGAGGGTCTTGTCCTCGCTGTAAAGCACATCTTTGAACAGAGAGACTGGGATCAGGCTCAGGCGGTTTTCTGGGGGGTTGAAGGTATAATAGTTGATAAAATTGCCAAAAGGAGCGGCCCCTGGATCTGAATCCACCTCAACTTGGTTTTCAACACACGCTGCCATTGTTGTGTGTGACATACAAATGCTTCCGTGTGAAAGACCAGTCTGTTGTCTAAATGTTTTTTACTGTTTTTTACTGTATACATATGTTTTTTGTCTCTTTATTATTATTATTATTATTATTTTTTGTTTTTGTTTTTTTTTTTTTTAATCTATGAACCAGTTCTATCTGTGTTCTTAATAAAGAATGAATTGAATTGAATTAAATGGTCCGCTTATTTAACCTAATACTGTATTTTTTATTGTAATGCAACTGTATTACTAAAACCGTAATACAATTGGTTAATCTTTGTAGGGATCATATTTCTGATAGTATATATCAGTTTGACCAATAAAAGATTATATAAAAAAAATAAACTCCCGAGTTTCCCCGTTTGTCCCTCCTCAGACCCCGTACATTACGAAAGCAACGTTAGCAACAAGAGAAACTAGCAGCTAATTCATGCTCTGGTGACATTGACTGAGAATCCTCTGATTTTCTGTTGAATGGTTTAAAAGGTAAGAATTTAACGTTACTATGATCTACTGTGTGTGAAAATGATACACAAGACAGATATAGAGTTTAGTTCAGAGCTAGCTTAAGGTAAAGGAAATGTCTTGACCCTAAAGAGGAAAGATGCAGCTAGGATTCAGATCATGTCCATGGATCTGATCATGTCTCACGACTAAATCTGTAAGATGAGGACATGCTTTGTTGTTAGCTTTGTTGTCAGATATGTAGTTTGTGTGTGGATGAATTGCATTTTCCCGCACTGCATGCACTACCTTACCCCGTCACATAAATTAATTTTGGCTCATACCATTTCATATGCAAACAAACCCATGACCCAACAAACCAGCCAATATGTATGAATGTGTGTTCCTGATAAGACCGATGTGAACGATCTGAAAACGATTAATCGGGTGGACGGTCAATCAACTTGACCCCAGGCATTATTATTATCAGCTTTTCCTGGAATGCTCTTGGACATTTAACAAATTAATCTGATATGCTATTAATTACTATATGATTAAAACAGCATGCTTTATGGCCTTAAACCCAAGGTGATGTATTTAGTTTACTATTTTCCTTTTGTTTTAACCTCTGCTCAGTGACTATACTCACGTAAACTAAAGCATCCTCTTGGGTAACAAAATCACCAATTCAGACATACTTTTTTTTTTTTTAAAGATTCCTATAATTCCAAAATGTATGGTCTTTGAGTCCCTAACATGTTCTTCATCTTTAGCAGATATGTTGACGATGTTGACGGGAAAGCGCCTTGCAGACCTGGGCTACAGAGCCTTCTCCGCTTCCATGATGATGTTGACGGTTTATGGCGGCTACCTGTGTGTGATGAGAGGCTACCGCTTCATGAAGAAACAAGAGCAGCTCAAGCTCGCGGCTGAAAACCAAGACCCTGAAGTTATAAAAGAATGACCGAACAAACTCTAGTGTTTTGATTCATGTGGTTTAGAGATGTCGGTTTCTTTGCGTACTTTGGCTTCAACCTGAAACCGAGGAAAGGTTGAGGGACACATGTTTTGTTTATTAAGCAAATGAAATGGGAACATATTTGCATTTGTCCCGTGTGATCATTGTCCATAACCATGTAATATATTAAATGTTAAAGTATGTTTTGTATCATGGTGAAGTCTGTCTCATGGTAGAAGTGGACAATATAAAGATTCTCATTTAATGCAAAACTTACAACAGAATGTAGATATTTTAACTCTGAGAAAATAGTTTTGACTATAATCACCCAAAATAGACCTAACAAAGTACAGCTGCACAAAGTTCTCAGTTAACTTCAAATAATTGTTTCCCATTTATTGTCCACCCGTGTCTGATGGTGCACTATACAGAATCTGTATACGCCTAATTCCTGGTAACTTGTTCTACACTGATAAAATGTGATTTATAAAAGTAAACAGTCTTCAGTCTTCTCAAAAAGAATATATTCTTAAATACAAGGCACTCAATTGAGAACATTGGTACAATTCATCAAAACCTGGATATCTCTCAAGGCAGGGACTTCTCAATGTTTCTTATTTCACCAATATGTTTTGGTTTCAGAAGTAGTAAAAAAAAAAGTGAACACAAGTAAATCCACAATAAATATCAAAGAGCCGAACGTGCTGCCGTGGATGGAAACCTTTTAAGCAGTTTTCACTTTGGTGAATCAGAAACATATAAACATTTTCAACCCAATATTCCTACTCTGTGTTATGGCTGCACTTCTGGCTCAGTAACATCAAATAGATCTGGAGTGGCCCAAATGGAAAGTGCAGCTTTTTCCAATTTGATGGGTTAAAAAGACATTGGTGAATATAACCTTTGTGTTTTGGAGAAGCAGACAAGACAAGAAAAACATTTAAAAACATAAGCTGAAGGTGTGATTCTTTATGAAGAGTTTCTCACTTCTTCAATGTTCCATGATCAACCCATGTGAAATCGTATTGCAGTTTTTCTTAACAAAATGTACATCTTCAATATTGTGTCCTCTTTAACGACTTAAATATTCATATTTTGGTGTAGACAAAAGAACAGACAGCCACTTGGGCTAAAACAGGTAGAGCTGGTTAGTGGTTAGATTGCTCTTGCTCTACTCTGACTATCCCTTGAATATACAAATATAATCAAGTTCCAACCAATAAAACTGGGAGAAAACTTTAAAACTAGAAAAAGTGGACCCAAACTCAATACAAAAACGATTCACATCAAAGCTGCTCTCGAACCGTAAAGAGCCGTGGAACTGTCCAGAAGGAGGCGGAGCTCTGAATCCAGGTCCCAGGTCTATGTGGGTTTGGTCTCTGAGCTCTGAGCCCAGGTCCATGTGGGTCTGGACCACATTCATTAGAGTCAGGTCCTTAGTGAGACACAACCCAATGTAAGATTCAAGCTTTTGAGCAGTAAAAAGAGGTGGGTCATCAAATTGTGTCTGTTTTATACGTAACTTTCTTTTTAATAGTGTTTGGATTGTCCCAACTTGAAAAGTAAAATATTTTCAACAACTCAAACTGCTACAGTCTTCATCTCGTTAGAAAACATCTCATCTTTGGAATATTTGTAAAACAGAGCCCTGCGAGTCACTATGTTACAGTTTGGGCTGAGAGTGGGTGAGGGTGATGGGGTGGGTGAGGCTGAGGGAGAGTGGCTGAGGGTGGGTGGGTGAGTGGTCTTCACCTTTTCACTTTTCTGTCTGAAAAAGCTTAAAATACATGAATGTGAAAACTCGTGATGGAAGTGAACTGAGGAAATAATTAGATGGAGTTTTTCTTTTTACTTTTTGAGGTTTGAAAGTTAAGTACCCAGCCTTCAGCAAAGAAATAACATCTCCATGGCAACATCAGGCCAATCCCGTCTAAAAAGTTGCGCACAGCTTTTTAAACCATTGTTTCTTCCTCTTTCACGGCTCCTGCTCAGTTAGGGTCCTTGTGTTGGCCGCACAGAGGCCTGGGACACTAACTCTCCCGCGAGTCTCCAGCTCTACTGAAGCTGGAGGGGCAGGGGGGGCACGGGGGGCTGGAGGGGCAGGAGGCCACGGGGCAGTGACCGTTGGTGCCGTTGGAGTCGGCCTCTTCCTCTGAACTGCTCTCGATGTCGCTGCGCACGTCGTTACTCACCTGCACAGAAGACATCACGGTCAGGTTGGAAACACATAATGCTGTTTATATAAATACATACATTACTACATGTAATCTGTAGATCTACTACACACTTCTGTTATGCACATACAGCAACAATGCAATAATAAAACATAACTAAAACTAAGAATTCAACAAATTAAAAAGTTACTTATACTTCATCAATCAATCAATTAGTTCATTTGAGTTGAGCCCAAAACCGTAAATGACCATTTTATGTGTTATTTGACATTTTTTATCTATTTCCCAGATTGAGCAATATTTCTAAACATTATTTTCATTCATATATCTATATTATTATATTTAGTATAACAAAAAGAAATATTTAAACACAAAATTGTAAACAAAATGACATTTTCTATTATATAAATCCACAAACGCAAACATGTAATGCCCGCAGTGACCAGCAGAGGGAGTGTTGAGACGGCGTTAAAGCGTCACAATGGTTGTATTTGTCCTCGCTCCACAGTGATGGGAGAGAGGACACCGTGCACGAGACACAGACGTGATCTTACATCACCAGAGGGGGTTTATCTTGAACATGAATAAATCACCTTAAATTATTACTGACACTGTCAACAGTCTGAAAACTTTAGCAAATTACAAGCAAGAAAAAAGCTAATTTTTGCACTGTATTTTTATGATGTAGCGCTTTTTTTTATTGTACATAATAGAAAGATATTTTTAACATGTTTGCACACTTCCTGTCACACACATGAGTGATTCTGTCTATGACAAATGTGAAAATGATCACTCAAAACTCTTTAAATATGATCCTAAAGTAATAAGTTTTCAAGAATATCTGAAATATTATACTGTAATATGTATTTATTGCATTGCTTAAGTGAGGACTGAATGAAAGATGGTATTGCTCTCCAGTTTTAGTTCTCGATACCTTTAACAACCTTGAGAAAGTAACTAAAATGATATCTGATAATGGTTCCATTTTCTATTGAGAAGTACACACAACATATTCACACGTAATGAAAGAGGATTGGAGCAGAAATAGATGTGAATAGATAAACCCCACTCGGATCATCTGCAACTGAAGGAAAAGAAATTGAAGCTTTAAAAAAAGAAAAACTTACAAGTCAGAATAGAAAGTGTAGGTAAAGATGCCAAGTGGACAGAGCGAGTGGGAAAGCAGTGGACAGAGGCTTCTGCAGAACCACACGGCAAACACGGCAAACACCGCACACACAAGAAGAGAAGGAGTAGATAAGATTACACAAAGCACACCACACGACGACAACAACAACACAACTATTCAAACTAAGAAATGTATGTTACTGGCTGCATTTCAACTTTATAATTGAAGTCATGTGATCGATTAGCATGGCTCTACTGATTAATTTATTATCATTTTGAACTATATCATCTATTTACTGTTTTTTTAATCCTACAGAAAGTAAAAATCTACAACTTGATGAAAATGTTTAAACAATTGTGAGATGCACAGATGATGGCTTTATTTCTTTACTGAAACCTAGATTCATTTAGTTAAACTGGAAACAGGCTACACCCAGTCTGCTTTATCTTAATGACAGATGTAATGAGATCGCCTGGTCTTACCAAACCATTGTAATCATTTCAGTTCGTACTAAGGTCTAGATTTGCTCCGTTGAGCTCCGTAAACAGGTGGGAGGGTGAACTCCTTTTGCAGATTGAAACACTGGATCTGAGTTCTCCGTGAAGCGTAAAGCGTTGCAAACTGTCCCTTAAAATACTGAATAGTCCTGTATTTTAGAAAAACTATGTGCGCACTGTAATTAATTGAAAAGCGAGAAGGCACGCCTTTAAACGTATCACTCACTGCACGTCACACACACACACACATACGACACACACACACACACACACACACAGTAATCACAGTTTAAGACTATCTTTTGGCCAATCAGTGTCAAAGGGGCGTAGGCTTGATCACATCCGTGGGCTTAATGTTGATGAGCGCCAGCGTGGGCCGCGCCCGCAGCATCATCCTCATGGCAGACGCACGACCGTCAGAAAGTTTGCTAACTTGCAGAAACTTGGCTGCCTTCAGGGAGGAGGCTGCGCTCGGTGGGATGTAGGACACAGAGGAGAAGGTCCACTTTTGTTCCAACAGTGATTCAGCTGCTGAACTCAGACCAGTCATTCCCCAGCGCAGTGTTAAAATGCTCCTAACATGAACTTATACAGGATGTGTGTGTGAATGTATTTATGTGTTTTTTATTGATGTTTTTAAGCATTTAACTTGCAACTCTCCGTGCTTTTTAATTGCCCCTCGGGGATAAATAAAGTGATTGATTGATTGATTGATTGATTGAAAGTGATTCAAAATAAATAACTAACTGTAGTAGAGATGATGGGTGAGCAACCTTCCTTTGTTTTCAACTCAAAGATTCAGGAAAGAAACAAAAACAACAACAGAAGAACAGACAAGTGGAGGAAGCACACCGTGTGTTCTGTGTTTGTCATGGCGGTCTGTCAGATAAGACAGCAGCAAAGAACTTTCCAGCACCGCTAAGTCCAGAACAAATCAGATCCACCTCACTCACTTCGTCCCTGAAGCATCATTCGAGGCAGACAGAGTAATGTCACGTTCAGACCGGATCATGCTGCGCCGACTTTCAATGCAAAGTCAATGGTGACGCGCGTTTGAGCGTCAAAAAGCATGTGCGTCTCGGAATGCATGCACTTACTGCTGAGTAGAGAAGCACGGACTGCGCAGCAAAGTTGCGGCAGAGGCGCGCAGGAGTGGAAAATCGACGCACACAGGAGATGAACATTGCTGAGGGTCTCCTCGGGACGCTCATGCAGCGACCAATCAGAGAGCCGCAAAGTGGTCACAGGGACATTAGCGGACTGAGCGAGCAGACTGAACATACTGTAAACAGCCAAAACAGGAGCTACACTGAGACTAAACCAGGGTTGACAGTGGGGGACATAGTGCTTGTGAACATGTGAGTTGTCATGCTCCTGTGACTTTATGCAACTGCTTCGAGTGTGTTCGCTGATGCGGAAGTACCGTTTAATAATAAAACAAACGTATGGCGCACCTCCGTGAACACATACTACCGTTACTGTTGTCCCTGGAAGGTCTCTGGACCCAGAGATGCTTCAGAGCTGCATTATTGGAGAAGAACTTTACACAAGAAGCCGCTAGCTTAACTCCGTTAGCATCAAAGTCCGACCGCTACTTCCGCCACTTCCGCCACTTCCGACGGGCACCATCGCAGGCCAGGACTGGTCTAAAGACTCCTGCGTCTGAAAATTAGAGAATGTGCGTCTGGAGCGCGAGGCGTCAGCGTTCCAGCGTCGGCGGTCTGACTTCCTTGTCAGGCTTCATTAAGCCTGGACTCCGCTCTGTGTTTGTGTGTGTGTGTGCGTGTGCGCTGCGGTGAGAAGAGAGCGTTTTGGAGGTAGACGGGGACTTTTCGGGTATTTTTACCCCGAAAAATATATGGTAGATTTACGATCAGGAAACAATTATTTCAATTTAATACATGAAAAAAAATACACATGTTTGTTAATAATCATTGTCATTAACAAATACTTATAACCAAGGACCACAGCATATATCAATACACGTTTAATAATGTGGTAAATAAAACCACGCGTGTCGGGTCCGTTTTCCATTGTATTTTCAATGGAAAACGGACCCGACACGCGTCGACGGACAGAACAAATAGGATTGTTTCTATTGCGTCGGACGGACGCAATGTCTGTCTAATATTTTTTTCATCCTTTGAAAAACAAAGGTTAGGGTTGGCACACGCTGACATCATTGAGAGTAAAAAGAGTGGGACCTTGCCGCGCGCCATGGCCTTGACAGCGATGCGAGCGATGAGGTAGGACCAGATGATGTGCAGCACCTGGAGGACCAGCAGCAGAGAGTTGAAGACCCACCAGGACGGGAAGGGCCCCACGATGTCCCAGCTCTGGAACATGGTCGAGTTCAGCACCCTGCGCACACACACACACACACACACACAATGTTAAATCATTTCGTTCTAATACAAACTGAGGGGAAAAAAATAGGATATTAAGATCTTGAATGGAGCCATAATTGTATTGACGGTTGCATATTTTGATTATTATTAAGTTATTTAAGCAGATTTCTCCGCTCATTTCAAAGTGCAAATAAGAGAGACAAGATATTTTATATGCCATTTTATTTGGCAAATTGTATTGTAATTAAATAAAAAAGTCTGTATCCCAAAATGTCCAAAGTCAAATTCCAAAACTTTTCCAGTTCCTCAAAAGTCCATTTCGATTTTCCAGGACAATTCCAACAATGCGGACGCTACAAAGTGAATTTTCAGAACCATTTATGTTTATTTTTTAATGAGATATAACAAATAATGAGCATAATTTCACAGATGCAAGATGATCCACTCCTAGCAGTAAAAATCTGGTTAAAATATCAAATTATTTTTCCCTTTTTCCCACAGAAATGATGATGATTTTTGAAGTGACGTAAACTGACAGGAAAAACTACATCTCCCAGTTGGGCTGAAACATTGAAGTGATTTCTGCTAATGAGGTCTCCTGGAACTGCAGCCACTCCTGTAATTCTAATTATTCTCAGGAGGGCCATCATTGACACACAACAAAGCAAACCTCGCTGGAAAGTAAACCAAGGCCAGCTCCAGTCAAGACTAAGAATATAAATGATGCAGAGTACAGTAAGAACATAACAGGTTTTCTGATAAGCCGATTATTGAAATTTAGATTTATGTTCCGTACATTTGTAAAGCAAGAGAACACATTAGAAAACCGTAAAATAGAATAAAAGGTACATAATTTTATCTTTTACTTTATCGTTTTAACACAAAAAATGAAATATTAGGTCACACTTATCTTGTTTTAAGGCCGAAAAATTTCAATAGAATCAAAATTTGTCAATGCGACCAAAGGATTCTCACTTGAAAAGGAGAACAAATGTTTTGCTTGTTCCATTGGTAAATCCTGTACGTAAAATGTTCAAAAACTGTTTTACATGGGCTAAGGGCCGGATTAGACAGATTTGGTTGTTAAATTGTTGCTACCCACAAATTTGGTTCGACGACTTCTTTCGCAACAAGACAAACCTATGGGGGACATCATCTCTCTGTGCATGACACTCACTTGTCAGAGATTAAGGTTACGTGGATGCGTTTAATTTGCCATGTACTAAAAGCATATTTAAAACAACATCATCTGGTTGTATCCATCATGGCCATGGCTATATCCATCACAAAAGAGAACATTCCATGAAGCGTTCCACACTTCATAGAATCCACACGGGTCACTGTTTCTCTATCCATATCCATCCATCCGTGTGCTTTTCATTCCTACTGGTCTGTACCTGGTGATGCAACACTGACATTTCCTCGCAGTGGGATGAATAAAGGACCTGTTCATCTCCATACTTCTGCTTTAGAACAATGCTGCAGTCAGACAAAGCCCTGTGGCCCGCGCTGAGGCCAAGTGCTGGCGGAGGTCAAGTGTAGCTCTGCACACAGCTACGGTGATGGACAGGTGTGTGTCAGCGACCCCCCCCTCCGCACCCCCCACAGCGGTGTTCCTTTCAAACCAAGCACCTTCAATGGCAACACTAGCTCTCCTCCCGCATCCACACCAAGACACTGAATATAGGAGCTCCGGTTACATCGGCCACTCGCTGCTCCACCATTGTGCTCCTTCTCGTCGCTGGAACTTCCTTTTCTACTCTGATAAAAGACTCGGTTTTGGATTAGGAGGCTTTAGAGAGTGGCTACCGACGACCTGTTTAATGAGGACCTTCTTTTCCATTTCAACTTTAACAAAGCAAAACTAAATATTCTCATCACTGTGGAAAGGGCTCTTTATTCTGAAACTTGGGGATAAAGAAGCTAATCATTTAAAGCTGGAGTATGTAACTTTGAAACCACAAAAAAGAGAAGTATGCTAACAAAATACATGTAACTAGTTCCTTTCTCTCTAAACAGTTTGGTTCTTTCACTGCTTTCACATAAATGTAACGTCAGCCACTGTCACATCTTTAGATCAGATTTTTCAGTGAAAAGGTGCTCAAACAATCCGCTCAGTATGTGAAAAACTGCTTCTCTTGGCACAAACAACATTTTTAATAATAGAATAATAAATAATATATGGAAACTCAAGACTACCAATCCAGTACTCAGAACTGTATTTGAAAATGCATTTGTGAATAATATGTTGTCAAAACTGTTGGACGCTTGTGCTTCAGAGCAAGAAGGTCCTGGGTTCAATTCCACCTATTCCACCCATGTGGATAGAGAGTAAGATTACTCACTCACAGCTCATACAAAATATACATTTAATTAGTTACCTATGAGTGCCAAGTATATACAATGAATGTATGCCATCACAGGAAGGGTGGGGGCTAAATAATCTGTGTACTGGAAATTGCCACAAGTTTCCTCAGTTGCATCATTTCATAACATGAAGTAAAACCAGCACAGGGAAGAACATGCATTTAATATGTGCAGCAAAAAATAAGTTCAGACACAGAGACAAAGACACAGAGACAGAGATGGACACAGAGAGACGGAGAGACAGACACAGAAAGACAGAGAGATTCAGGACAGACCAAAAGTTTGGACACACTTTCTCATTCAATGAGTGTCCTTTCTTTTCATGACTATTGACTGTAGATTCACTCCCAGGCTGTGTAAGGGCTGTTTGACCAATAAGGAGAGTGGTGGGTGCTGGGCTAGATGACCTGGCCTCCACAGTCACCGGACCTGAACCCAATCTAGATGGTTTTGGGGTGAGCTGGACCACAGAGTGAAGGCGAAAGGGCCAACAAGTGCTAAGCATCTCTGGGAACTCCTTCAAGACTGTTGGAGCTCATCAAGAGAATGCCAAGAGTGTGTGAAGCAGTAATCAGAGCAAAAGGTGCTACTTTGACAAATATAAGACATATTTTCTCTCGTTTCATACTTTATTACGTACATAATTCCACATGACTTGATTCATAGGTTTGATGCCTTCAGTGTGAATCTATAATTTTCATATTCATGAAAATAAAAAATACTCTTTGAATGAGAAAGTGTGTCCAAAATGTTGGTCTGTACAGTACCACAAAGATTTCAGAGGAGAGGAGATCACTGTATATGTTTTTAATATTCGGCTGAAATCATGTGAATCAGCGGACAAACTGGCATAAAAAACTACCATAAGCTTGTTAGTATTTCAATATTCCAAAAAGTCCTCAGCAAAATGAACAGATCAGAAGCTTTTGATACAGAGCAAGCAACACAACTGAATACACACAACAATCAGCAATTAATGTCTTCACAAAATCGAATACAAAAATATATTACTCACCATATAGGATAAATGATTAGTCTGGTGATGAAAAACACAAGACTGAACACAATGAAGATTGAGTCGCACACTCTCTGGTACTTGGCATAGTTGGCCATCTTGGCAGCCTGAGGAGGAGAACAAAAACAGAACCTTTACACCACACATTGACCTATTATTAATTTAAAAAATACTCAGTTGCAGATTAGCATTGATAAATGTTAAGGCTATGGTATGGTGACTAACCAATCAGCTAAGACCATTGGACATTCCTCTGCCATGCTGTAAAAAAAAACTTATGGTCTTCCTCAGTCAGACCAAATCTGCATTTTTTGCTCCCCTGTTTTTTTTAAAGGATTTTTCAAGGTCGAATTCAAGGAGAGGGCATTGAGGGGTGATATGTGGGAACAGGACCAGGAAGCCCAGCCCTATAACAGACTGAGACTGTGTTTTTAATGGTTTATTGTACATTTGGATTAGAACTGCAAAATCCCTCACTATTGAATTGAGGATGCATGAATCAAATTTAAAGAGCAATAAGGCAACATTCTATCCGTCAAATATGTTTTTTTCTTTAACCCAGTAAATAAATTGAATATTTGATAGTGATAGGATATTGATAGGATACTGTATTGTCTTTCTTAAAAAAGACAATACAGAACTAGTGAAAAATAAACATGGTCTTTTATTCAATGCTGCGTCATGCTTTGTACGAGTAAATCCTTGAAGAGATTTGGAGCCCGGAGGAAGTGACCGGAGTGGTGTGGTCGCTGCGTGGGGATGAGCTCATGAGAAAACAGCATTTAGTGATCGAGTTTCTCTGACCTCCAGCAGGAAGTCGGAGGCGTCGTGCACAAACATGACCAGGCTGCCCACGCGCACCATGTTGTTGGCGTAGGAGAAGCTGATCAGCCCCACCGTCGCCAGGTGGTGAATAAACATGACCAGGAAGTCCTAAAGGGAGAAACCAAAACAAAAGATTTTACGATAACGTTTTGAGTGACAACTAGAATTACAGAACACATTTCCTCGAGGGCAAAACCATCCTTAGGAATGTTACAGTTACAATTGTGACAGCTTAGCATTGAACGTAAAAATAGAATTACAGGAATAACTGAGGAAGACATACAGTATAGGAGACATACTGTAGTTTGGATGCATTTCGTTCCCATGTGGTCTACTGGGTCACTTAGAGACATGCATTCAACAGTTAACACAGAAAAGCCCAGGCTGGGGGTTGAGACTGAAGATTTTCAAGGGGTCCCCAGAGAAAACAGAAGATCTAAACCACTTATTCAAGTCAATAGACAACTTATCTCTGTCCTACAACACGTTTGTCACTGTGAGATTTGTCCATGCGGCCTTTGTCTGGACATTCAGGGCAGGCCTTGGACAGTGCTCACTGCCCGGACCTCCCAACCAACTTCCACCCATCCATTTTCCTCCCATTTGTCCCTTTCTGAGTCAGGAAGTGACCATCAGCTGCCACCCAATCCACAGAGCACCAGCCCCTCACTGATCCTCATGAGGATGGCTGCTCTGTCAGAGGGGGTTTCAGGCAAAGTGGGGTTAAGTGTCTTTCTCAAGGACACAACGACCGCAGTGGGAGTCGATGAAGAAGGTCTCTGGTAGGCTTGAAACCCACCACCTTCAGGCTCAAAGGCCAAATGCTCAACCAACTGAGCCACTTGCACTAGTGAAAATAAATTCCCCTTGGACAACACTAAACATTAAACTATTTGTTGTAGTCTACAATACTACAAATCCTCTTCTGGACAGAAAAGTAAAGAGGGTGATGCTGTGGTGTGCTGCTCTAAGTGGCGTATAAAAGATCTTAAATGTAATAGGTTTATTTTTAAACGTGTGTATACTTTATATATAATCATACAAACAAAACCCAATTTCTATTCCATTGACATGTCCAAAAGGGAAGAAGCCAAAGCTCATGCGGTCATGGTCCTACCCCTCATTTACAATAGCAAAAGGAGATTTGAAAAATGGATCAAGCCCAACATATCTAGCAATTTCACACCTATAAAAGTGCCACATAATGACAGTCCTTTTCCTTCACTCTTCTTGTTTAATTATTAACCTAATGATCTTGACAACCTTAGCTACAACAAATAACGTCTCCATTGTCTCAACACTATCAGGCTTGTCCATGTGGAAAGAGAGGAGATGTCACGCAATCCCAGCATGCACTACCAAACTAATAAGGGGCAGGACAGATAGCAAAAAACTCTAAGAGCTGCTGCCTATATATATTAAATGTCCTGTATTTAATTACCCAAAAATGTGATCACATGAGATCCAAAGCTCTTTTGTGGAAAAAGTTTTTAAAATGAGTTAAACGTGAAAATCATATAGGCGCAATTACGACCACTAGATTAACATGATTTAATTTAAAATGGTCTAAATTGATAACTACTACTGTACAAATATATGTTCATGTGTGTTGCCTGCTCTCCTATGAAGCTTTAAGTGTGTTGGAAGTCATTTATGTCACACGTTGGTTATGGAGTGACTGTTATCAGCACTAGTTTGAGTTTAGTTTCTGGTTGAATATTTCTTGGCCCAGTTCTGTCTTAATCATTGATGTTAGTAATGCGGGAAAACAAATATATTTGACTGAAAGTAGAAATAAGAAGTAATTGTCAATAATAACTTTTTTGTAGATTATGGACCTAAATGAAAGCCTTACAATATGGCCAGTGGTCACCTTTTGGATTTCAAAAGTCCTGGTCTTTCTAGTTCCCTGACCACATTATAAAACGATATTGTAACAGAACAATGCATTCAAGATCAACATATCACTAAACATATTCATTTAGAGCAATTAATATGTTTGAAGTGGACACAATGTAGCAGATTAGCCAATCAGTAATCAGAATGAGTCTCATTTGGGTTGTCATTTCTTTAGGTTGAATTTAATCTTTTTTATAAATGAATACAATCTAAAACAAATAGCATATTAAAGGTGCGGTAAGCGATGTTGTTAGCTTAGCCGTAGCACCAACTGGAAACCACTCCCCCCTCCCCTCGCCTCTCCACCAAACCAAACATCCAGCATTTTCTTTGTCACAACAGGGAGAGTGGTTCAGCCCTTTAAGGTTTAAGAAAATCCCATAACTCAGGTGCACTCGCGTGAACATGAAGAGGGTGAAGGCGGTAAACGCATCCCATAGGGCACTGTCCGGTTTCCGAAATGTGCTAAAAATAGCTCAGATGACTGCGCATGCGCGCATGTTTCGGACAAACATTGTGTACGACGCGTTGAGTACTGTGTTCTCCTCATACGCGTGTGTATTTACTTGGGCTAAATCATTAAATCATGGTGACAACAAAACACTGCAGTTATGGTGCTTGTCGGAGCGATTTCAGATATTCTGAAAAGGATTATCAAAGTAACATTCAACCCGTTCGTTAAACCACAACATCGGACCAGATCAGGACCAGACCAGGACCAGATCAGACCAGGACAAGTGCAAGAGGTGGGTGCTTGTGGTCGGCAGAATTTCTCTCATGAAAAGGTTAAAAAGGACACATGTTTTTTCAAAACACTTCGCTGGACCAACTGTGGAGTATCCAGATCCAGTCCTAGCTACGTTTAGCTGGGACTGGATCTGGACCGCTGTATCAGGTCCGTCTGAGCTCTTCTGAATGTAGTTAGCACAAACTTTCTCTTTACACCATTTACCCCCATCAATCCATATTAGTATTGTTTGTCCTAATCCAGAAAGTATACAATTCTCACACCTGAAGAAAAATGAGAGGGATTTTTTTCAACTTTGTGACTATCTGAAAATAAGTTCAGACGAAGCGCGTCGGGGTCCGCTTATTATACGGCTTTGTACCAACTCAACACGCAAAATAAACGTCATTCACTATTAATGCCGAAAGGTTTATTTAATGAGTGCAAAGAAAATAGTTCCCACAGGTTTTCCCGTGGCAGGCGAGTAACAGTGAGGATAGTTAACCTACTTTAAAAAAGCGATCGCTTTAGTTGCATTAAAAAAGTATTTTTGTCATGAAAACCTGAACAGATAATTCTGAAAACCTCCGTGCACTTGTGTTATGAATGTATGTATAATGTATTCTCCCATTAACATTTAAATGTGTCGATTGATTGTCATTTGTGTTTACTGAGTGTGGCTAGCTCTGACAGTTTCTCTCTGCAGAGACAGTAGTGGCGTAACCCGTTGTGACCCCATGGATCTGTTATAATATCAGCTGACTGTAGCTAACTAATGATCAAACTAATTACAAAGTGGATAGTGCAAAAAAAAAAAAACTTGATAAATGGAAGTTAATCACAGCAAAACAAACAAAGAAGGCGCTAGCATTGCAATTTAAATGACTAGATAATGTTAGCATAATCCTTACCATTATCTTTTTATCAACTCAAATGTTCTACCAGTGACAGACCACGACATTCAAGCCAACGTTATAATTGGTCTACACTATGATCCCTGATGGTTTGATGGTGGAATTTGCCCCTGGTATTTCATTTTCGTCTAAAGTGACAAGTGGTATTTGATTCATTTCGGCAGTGTTTGTCCGAAACATGTGGGCGGGAGTTGACAGGCGGCGGGGGCGTGTCTTAGTGACGTCATTCAGATAGTTCGCTATTGGTTCGTTGGGGTTGAACATGTCCCATTAGTTTATTTTTATCTGTCCGCTCCAAAATATGTTGTATACATTTTTGGAGACTATAGGCATCTGGTCAATACCATTACCATTTGAAAACTCATGATAACTTGACTACTTTTAGGGTTTAGGGACGTTCACAATATAAAAAATAAATAAAATGCCTCTGGAAACAAATCACTGACTGCATCTTTAATTTAAATGAAGGACGGGCATGCTAACAAATGTCGGACTGGAATTGTAATAACTTTATTAACCCAGTTTTATTCATGTACTTGTCTTGTGAACTCTGGGGGACTTTTGCGGATGTATTCCAATATGGTTTTACTGTAAATGGCAAATAAAATGAATCTGAATCTGAAGAACAAAACTATGAGGTCTCTTTAAAACATGTGCTGCTGACAGGAAAGAGATAAAAACACAGATGTCAACAACCAGGTACTAAGGTGCGCAGAGCAGAGCCTCATTCATCATTCCCATCATGCTGCGACTAAATAAAGATGGAAATGTTATACTTGTGTCTTTCATGTTAGAGTTAGAGATTTTAATTTATTTTAATTAGTTTAGCTATAGTTCATTTATCTTGTGCCGTGTGCTCCTCATTCCTACTCTTCTGTAACTTGTGATGCAACACTGACATTACCCCACTGTGAGACGAATACAGGACCTCTTCATCTAAATAGTATAAATCAATGTAAAAATTGTCTAGTTGATGCAGCTCAAATAATGACCAATGAAGAAGAGATGCAAGTCCAGCGGCTCTTGCCATGTGTAATCAAGTGGAGAAAAGCATGAAGAAAAAAATAAACAAATGTGGGCCATAAATGCTAGTGAACTTGTCAAGTGTGACACAGAGCCCTTCACAAACATGAAAGTGAGTAGTCCGGGGCAGTTTGTCTCACTTGGAATTTGTATAATTCTAATAGAGTTAGGCCTGCTCCTAATCACATGACAGAGCGTGCCTTCAGGCAGAAAAACACACACACACACCCACACACGCACACCCACCCACACACACAAAACAAAGTACATACTGCTAAATGTTTCTACCTAAATATCCCCTTCAGCGATGTGTAAGAGGATATGATTCAGTTACTACTTCTTGAGAGATTGAGCTGAGACCAAATGAAACTGAAACAAACTAACTGAACCTAAAGACTTTCTTTTTAACTTGATCAGCAAGTTGAGCAATTACAGAATAAGATCTCAGAACAGAAACATATAAAGCACTATTCCAGCTTACAGGATTACTATCACCAATGTTAATGCAACTCTGATATTATAACTGAGCTTTCAATGTTTGCTCCTTCTGAATCATTCAATCTGTTAAACTAAACAATAACTTATATAAACATGCAATCATGCACTTGATTTATTTATTTTACGTCTTGCATCCTGCTTCACAGGATTCCTTCAACATTCTCTCTACTTGAGAACCACAACAAACACACGTGTCGGGACAAGTTGCCTCATAGTATTAACCTGTGTCTCGCTTCAAGCAAAGCCTTCTCTCTTTGTACGTCCACATTAATGGCCCGGTCATTGTGAGATCAATAAAGTATATCTACAGTGCCTTGCGAAAGAATTCGACAAGGTAAGAATCAACAACAAGTGGGACACAATCGTGAAGTGGAACAAAATTTATTGGATAATTTAAACTTTTTTAACAAATAAAAAACTGAAAAGTGGGGCGTGCAATATTATTCTAAAACTAATACTTTGTAGCGCCACCTTTTGCTGCAATTACAGCTGCAAGTCACTTGGGGTATGTCTCTATCAGTTTTGCACATCGAGAGACTGGAATTCTTTCCCATTCTTCCTTGCAAAACAGCTCGAGCTAAGTGAGGTTGGATGGAGAGCGTTTGTGAACAGCAGTCTTCAGCTCTTTCCACAGATTCTTGATTGGATTCAGGTCTGGACTTTGACTTGGCCATTCTAACACCTGGATATGTCTATTTGTGAACCATTCCATTGTAGATTTGGCTTTATGTTTTGGATCATTGTCCTGTTGGAAGATAAATCTCCGTCCCAGTCTCAGGTCTTTTGCAGACTCCAACAGGTAGTCTTCCAGAATGGAGCCAAATACAGGACCATCCATCTTCCCATCAATTTTAGCCATCTTCCCTGTCCCTGCTGAAGAAAAGCAGGCCCAAACCATGATGCTGCCACCACCATGTTTGACAGTGGGGATGGTGTGTTCAGGGTGATGAGCTGTGTTGCTTTTACGCCAAACATATCGTTTTGCATTGTGGCCAAAAAGTTTGATTTTGGTTTCATCTGACCAGAGCACCTTCTTCCACATGTTTGGTGTGTCTCCCAGGTGGCTTGTGGCAAACTTTAAACAAGACTTTTTATGGATATCTTTGAGAAATGGCTTTATTCTTGCCACTCCTCCATAAAGGCCAGATTTGTGCAGTGCACGACTGATTGTTGTCCTATGGACAGACTCTCCCACCTCAGCTGTAGTTATCTGCAGTTCATCCAGAGAGATCATGGGCCTCTTGGCTGCATCTCTGATCAGTCTTCTCCTTGTTTGAGATGAAAGTTTGGAGGGACGGCAGGGTCTTGGTAGATTTGCAGTGGTCTGATACTCCTTCCATTTCAATATAATTGCTTGCACAGTGCTCCTTGAAATGTTTAAAGCTTGGGAAATCTTTTTGTATCCAAATCCGCTTTATACTTCTCTATCTATATACTATACTATCAAAGAGCAGGTGCATTTATACGGAGACTTGATTACACACAGGTGCATTCTATTTATCATCATCAGTCATTTAGGACAACATTGGATCATTCAAAGATCCTCACTGAACTTCTGGAGTGAGTTTGCTGCACTGAAAGTAAAGGGGCCGAATAATATTGCACGCCCCACTTTTCAGTTTTTTATTTGTTAAAAAAGTTTAAATTATCCAATAAATTTTGTTCCACTTTACGATTGTGTCCCACTTGTTGTTGATTCATGACAAAAAAATCAACATTTTATATCTTTATGTTTGAAGCCTGAAATGTGGCGAAATGTTGAAAGGTTCAAGGGGGCCGAATACTTTCGCAAGGCACTGTAAACGATCATGTTTTGTTGGTATTTATTTCTTTTAGTTTGTGATCAAGTCACAATTATGTTAAGGTAAGTTTGGGGTGGAGGTGTAGGGAAGCGTTCGGGCCCCGGCTGTAGCTGTTCAAGGACTTTACAACATGTCGTTTAATTTATGATGAGAAAGTGAAAACTACATGTCGTAGTATAACATTAACCCTTAAAGTTTTGCTTGAGATAGCTTTGTATATTATTAGCTCTCAAATGTCATAAAGTTCATTGTCAAATATTTTCAACAGTTGGTTTGAGTCATTCTTATTCAAGGCTGTTTTCACTGAGTCCAAGGGTCTTAATTTAAAAAAATCCCTATAGTCTATATTAGCTGTATTAAACAAAATGTTTGTTCCCTGCCGCTCATCCTGGAGAGACTGAAGCAGCACGAAAACCCTGCTGGATGATGGAGCTTTCACTTTTCTGTGTTCAAAGATGTGATCGAGTGGACAAGAGTGATAACTAATGTAGTAAATGAAAATACTGTGGTTTTGAGAGGATGAAAGCATAGTTCATATGTCACATGAATATGTCATGTGACACATGTCATGTGATGCTGGCTCTACACAGACTAGAAGCCTAAATCCAGCGGGGGACAGGGGATGGAAAGTAGCCCTAGCTACAATCCTGCTTACTCAGACATAAAGTTCAGCCTTAGTCCCACTGATGTCTGCTGTCGTTGTGTCCTTGGGCAAGACACTTAAACCTCACTTTGCCTGAAGCCCCCACTGGAAGATCAAGGCTCCTGTGGACTCACCACCTGCAGGAGGATCAGTGAGGGGCTGGTGCTCTGTGTACTGGGTGGAGCTCTGACTGCCACCCCCCCGACCCAGAAATGTATAAAGGGGAAGAAAATGGATGGATGGATATTCAGCCTACTTTTAATATGCACTGTTCCTATAATAAATAAATATTACATTCAAAAACGAGTGAAGTTAATCACAGGGGCAGCACAACTGTATTTTTACCATGCAAGGTAAAGTACTTACAGTTCACAAGCACAATATTAAGTTGTTGAATAATTGTGACGGAGAACCAACTCAAGAGACTATGATTTTTTTCTTTGGTTGTAACCATATAAAACCTTACCTTTCTTTTTATGTCGATGAATTGTGAGAACATGAGCGACCAGTAGAACGCCAGCTGTATTACATAAAAGCAGTACATCCCAGAACTCAGCGGCTAAAACCAGAGAAAAGCAGAGCATTAAAGGCAATTAATAACAATAACAGTTAAAAAGTAATTATAACAAGTTTAATAACAGTAACAAGAGGACAGCCTGGTTGGTTAGTGTAGTTGTCCTTAAACTTTTCCAAAACATCTAATTCCCTTGTATCTGGAGATATAATACGTATCACGGAATGAAATGATGTATCTAAACCATGAAGGCATTACTGTGATTCTTTTAATAAGACTTGAAAACAAATTAACTTTTCTCTAGTGTCTCACAAATAATGAGTCACTAGAGGCCGCACTGAATATTTTGTCCATAAATGTGGAAAATATGTATCTAAAAATGCAATGTCCCATCTAACAGTAGAACATGATATTATAGTTGCGTGATCCAGCGTCAGCACAAAGGGACAAAGATCTTCTTATAGACAAAATGACTGTCATGTGCATTTACTTCCTCGCGCTGGATATGGGAATAACCACTGTCTCCAAACAGAATTATTAAGTGACAAAAATATATACTTTCTTTTACAAATGCTGATGGTTTTTTTGCCTCACTTTTGGAAGAACGACTGATATTATATTTAGTTTACATGTAGCAGAGCGCTTCAGTGACAGAAACCCAAGCAAACGAGGCTTTGTCTAAACACCAGATTCCTCAACAGTAAAGACACGGAAACATCATACTGAGCACTCATCCATTGGGTCTCAACAAATGTGTTCAACATAAACGTCTTCACATATCGAGCATTGATACATGAGAGTAAATGTTTGTCCATGTTGAAAGGATGTCCTCACCTGATAGGGGTAACCGTACCAGCAGTGCCGCGTGTCCCACATCCAAGGGGTCTAAACAAAAGCGGACCAAACAGACATATTATTTGATTTCTTCTTTCTGTGGGTTGTTCGGCATCATACAGTGAACAGTCAATGGTGTCTTATAATTAACACCGATGGTGGGCAACTAATAAAATTGAATAATTTTTCAACTAAGAATTGTATGTGGGCAAACAGCAGCCACAAAGAGATATAAGCATTTTTTCCACTGGTCTGCAATGGGGGGGTCAGCAGTAAAACCCAAACCGTGGTACTGCAAAGATACACTTCAAGGCATGGCCGTGGCCCCTCTGAACCCTGTTACAGGGGACAGGGCAAGACGTGGCACAATGTGATTTTTTCTTCTTTTATTAAGTTTGTACATTTTAGAAAGACTGAAATAGTCTTCCAGGTTATACAGTTAGATTCACATGTATGATAATGGGAAAGTGCCACATGCAGACTGCAGAGCACATTACTTCACTTTTGGATCCTTTAAAACTTTTTGCAGTAATAATATGAATACTTTTTCAAGGCACTATAGCTACTGATCAATGTGCACAATATCTCTGATGCTAACAGCACAGTGCATAGGCACACAGTGCATATTGTTAAACTAGCAACCGTCCAAATATCCAGATCTTTTTCTTATCTAAAAGTAAGGTGGGGTGGGATAGGCCTCATCTTATAGAAAGGTGCCTATAGCATTCATCAACATCGCAAATACAGGTGGATCTTTGATCAACTTACTGTGAACAATGGACTTACTTTGTCTGGTAAAACCAGAAGATTTTTAGGAAATGAACCTGCAGCCACACAGGCCCTTTGAGGACCGGTTTGACTCCCCTGTACAATGTAAGTGAAGTGTCTTGCCTAAGGACCCAATGGCAGTTTAGCCTGAGCTGTCCTAATGTGGAACCTGGCATTCATAGTGGTGTCCCATCCCAGTACTAACCAGGCATCCATGTATGGCTACATCCACAAAAGATGTCTCAAGACACCTTCCAAACTTTTTGAAAGGAGGAGTATTTTATTAGTATTTGCAGAACGGTATCAATGTCGTTGCATTAAAAGTATTGTAACGAAATACTTAAATCATATAGATACATGAGCAAATTCTTTTGAAGGAATTAACAATGATAGGAGCATAAAGATCACCTCACCTGCCATAGAAACTGCAATCCATATATAAATATACCCAGATAAAATGTAAACCTCCACCTAGAAAACACATTGTTAATGAATAGATTTACCAACCACCAAAATAATTTATGAAAGAAATTACAATATATAGCATGAAAATATATAGTAGAAGATCAAAATATGAGAAAATCCATAATTAGCGTAATAGTTTATTTGAATCATGATATTCAAAGGAGTTAAGTTTGGCCTAAAAATAGTCTGCTGATTTGGTGCATATTTTGAAACAGGACAGAAGTAATAAGAAAAACAAATCGTTATGAATGTAAATATAATATAAAATATAATTCCATTGAAGTGATCATAAATGTGAGTCATTAGAACCCTAACCCTTTTACCAGCTGTATAAGATTGCGTTCACACTTGGTCCACAGAAAGTGGACTCTGGTGCACTTGGGTTGGTCCTTCAGACCAAGTGTGAAGACGGCCTTAAGGTGGTGATCGGGGCAAAAGTCTGCCCACTCTTGTGCATTGAGTGGTTGAGACATACATGCTCTCACAGAACTTTGTGTGTACACTGGGCTTGTCCTGGTTCCTCCGATGTCGAAACCAGCGCTGCACTTTCCGCACATCCCAGTCCAGCTGCTTTGACAGGCCCTCGAGCCGCCATGTGTCTGGGTTCTAAAATCACCACAAAAGTATTATACATATATATATATATATATATATTTTTTTTTGTTTTAATTAAATTAAGTTAATTCCATTTTTATCTGGTGTGTAGTTATGACAAACACACAAAGCTGTGTGTAGTTTAGTTTTTCAGAACTTAACTTGCAGCAGTCCAATACAAAACATTTACAGATTAGCACATTATTTAATTGTGAAATAAGTTGCTTGACTTGTTGTAATGAGAGACTGGGCCAGAGACCATATCAATGTGATTGTATAATGTAACGTAAATATAAAGTTTGTCAAAGTCAATACAATAAACAGAAGGCACATGGTCCATGCTTTTGGTACCAACTTGCTTTAGGTGTTGGTTTGTACATTATGGGTTGATGTTTATTGGACGTTTTTGTGTTCAGGGGAAAAGGGTCAGAAGAACGGCATCTTAAATTCAAAAGAGACGTTTAACATGACGTCTCCCTCGAGTGAAAATTGCTGTCGCGATATTCAATAAATCAATTAATCGCATGATAATAGGGCTGGGACAACGCGTCGACGTAATCGGTGACGTCGACGCAAAAAAATACACCGACGTATAATATGCGCGTCGGTGCGTCACACACAAAACAAAGATGGCGGCGAGCGGTAGCAATGCGAGTGCCGTGTTAGAGAAGTGCAAGCCGGTGTAACGCTGAGATACACTGTCTTGAAGAGATGCACAGCCTCAGCTGTTTATGATGTAATGCAAACCTGTGCATGCGCGTCTCACGGCAGCCGAAGCAAACCAAGATGGCGGGCCGTGAATTTCTTTAAAAGTTAAAATACAAACGAATTCAGACACGAATGTCACTTTTAATGCAATTTGAGGCGAGATGTTGATGGTTCCGTTTTGTCACATGTGGGTTTTAAGAGTCAAAGTTTTGTGCAAAGTTTAGTTTAAGCAGTCAACTGCGCCTGTGAAACCACAAAGCTAATGTTTTCATAGCAGTCCGCGGCTGCTGACGTAGGCTGATGACGCGTCCTGTGGCAACTCTACAGCTTACAACTAGTCTGTCTTTCTTTGTATCAAACGGAATATTGGCGCCCGTAATAGCCCCTACATGTATTATTCACTGTCATGCCCGCCGTATATGGACATTTTTCAACATGTGTTCAATATCCTTAATGCGATTAACTGTTGATTGATTCTCTGATCTGTGTTGGTGACTTCAATGTTATTTTAAGTCCTCTGAGATGACTTTTACTGTATTCTTTCAGTAACTCTAAAAGAAAGGATGACTGGTTGACCTTTTTATTTGCTACACAATGCATTGTTTTTCTCTTGTACACTCTTACTTGAATTTTATTTTTGAATTTTGAGTTTAAGAAAAAGGTGAGTGGCAGAGTTTTGACTGTTATTTTTATATGAATGAAGAATTTAAGAGATGCACTTTAATTAATGGACTTCAGTAATATAGGCCTATGTGTCTTCAACTTAAATGTTAAACTCTGTTGGTTCAGGAAGGACGCCATGACAGGCTGATGGCTCCCACTGTTTTTGCTGGAAAAGCACTCTTTGTTTAGCTTAAAGCCTTCAAGTTTACATTGGTTACTGTTTTCTTTTAGTTTCTCTACACAAGTATTTGGCTGAACTTTTTCATATTTTTATTGAATGCTAAGCATCAAATGTTTGTTTCAAGAATGATAAGATGCACTTTTTTCAGTAAGCTGTGTTTTCAAGGCTTTAAGGTTTTATGCTACCTCTAAGAATGTCTTATTTTTGAATTTTAAGAGCAAGCAATAAATATTTTTTGTGAAGGAATTCATGTTTTTTTCATTAAAATATTTAAATCAACATGTATACATCAATATTAGTCAATTAATGGGGAGATAATCGAGAATCGAATCGAATGAAAATCGAATCGAAGCAAAAAAAATAATCGTTAGATTAATCGATGCATCGAAAAAATAATCGCTAGATTAATCGTTTAAAAAATAATCGTTTATCCCAGCCCTACATGATAATCAAAATTAGCTCGATAATTTTGTTTGGCCACGATAAATGCCATTTACATGCTTGTTGGTTTTCCTCGGGTCAGCCGCAAAGTGGTCACGGGAACTTTAGCGGTCTAGCAAGCAGACAGAAAATACAGCCAAAACAGGACCTAAACCAGGACAAAATCAGGATTGAGAAAGGGGGACAAAGTACTTGTGAACATACAGAATGCCAGCCTGAGTTCTCATTCAGGCTCTAGTAGTGACCAAACTAGCGCAGCTAGCATGTTCTCTGAAGCGGAAGTACCGTTTAATATTTAAAAAAACTTTTGCCACACTTCCGTGAACACATACTGCTGTTATATAAAGTCTCTGGAGGTCTCTGGACACAGAGACGCTGCAGAGCTGCATTTTTGGAGAAAAACTTTACGCAAAAGCTAGCTTAAAGTTTATTTCTCTTTGAAAAGTTGTGCCTGCATAATTATCATTGTATTAGATGAAAACAACATTATTATCGCTAATCGCAATAATTTCTGAGACAATTAATCGTCCAGCAAAATTTTTTATCATGACAGGCCTATTTGTATATACAGTATTGTGTCTTTGTGATTATTTGTGATTTATTTTACCTATATTTTGCTAATTAGGCCATTCTATTTATCAATTCTTTGCACACTGTAAACCTGCTGTCACGTGGCCTATGCCCAGGAACTACGGATAAAAATTAGCTTACAAGCCATGTTCGGACTGAACTTACATTTATTACGCAATGTCCTTGTCAAATAAACAAATGAATGAAACATAAAAAAACATTAGCTTAATAAGTAATACTGACTTTTGAGATGGAGTTGAAAACCTTCTCGAGCACAGCGTTGGGTTGGGCTCTTCGTCCTACGCCCGCTTGGATGTGCAGACTCCGGGCACAGGCGCTGGCAATAAATCTGGACCAGTGATAAAACAAAAAGATTTATTTTGGGAATCCAGAATCAATGATAAGAAACACTGTACATCAAAATAACCAAGATATGGTGTTTTATGGAAAAATATCGTATTTAGATAAGTTATAAAACCTTGCATGTTTAAGTCTATGTAAAGTTAAGAAAAACGTAATCAACTTGTTAGCCCCATCTGGTATACAGTACAAAGCAGAAGGTCCTGAGTTCAATTCCACCTCCAGATGCGGCCTTTCTGTGGGGAGTTTGTATGTTCTACTCCTACAACTAAAAACATGTACAATCGTTCCAGGGGAATGAATGATGACAATCGATGGGAACTCGAAGTCTACAATCTGCTGTATTTACATGAATGCACACTGTCCAATTGAACAGCTACAATAAAGTAAAATGGAATGATTGACAATGTATGAGTGAATAAACTATTTTTAAGAATAAATTAACTATTCTTAAATTATGATGCAAAGTAAATCATGCTTTACAAACACTCAAACAATACTGAAATCTACCAGGTTTATACGGAATTTATTTCAGAAAAAAGGTCCAGCTGATCATTTCTAAAGCTGCGCCACATTGAACAAATAGTAATGTTACGAACACAATACTCCGAAAGTCATGACCCCAAACCGTGTTATCTACAGAATCCTTTTAGACCACTTTGTTGACATTTTACACACAGAGTTGTTAAAGGAAGTCTGGGTCAAAATGTCAGTTTTATTTAGGTATTCCAACTATTCATGGAGCTATGAGGACAAAGAGAATCAGTTTAGGACATCCATTTGCCTAGAGTATTTGTATGAAAGGAACTTAATGCATTAAACCACAGTGCTTCTAATTTACCATGAAATATCTGGCGTTTGGAAATAAAATTCCTGAGAGGGTAATTTTACCGATCACTGATATCATTATTGAGCACTTAATGCAACTGTGGGCTAGGGTTAGGGTTGTACCACGGAGCTCAGGACCTTTTTGTTGGAAGCCATTTGTGATAATATATGTGACTATATCAGAATAACTTGTAATGTAGAATAAAAATGTGTACAAAACATATTTTATTGTCTAATAAGAGCATATATAAATAATTGGGACTTTTGGAACAGCATTTCTTTCTAATTGAGTCTTAAATGTATTATTGAGGCATCACAACTAGAGTCTACAGTCGCCAGAGAAAGCAGCACCACAGCAGCTGGTGTGAGTCACAGACCAGAGCAAGACCGTGGTCCATGGAGTGCAGAGTGAGACACACGTTAGACATGGGGCAATATCCAGACGGTCACAAGGTTGAGCAAAATAACATAATCTGTGGTAACAATTGCTCTAAATACACCAAACATATGCATCCCTCTACTGTGAGAGCATACCATAGACTAGGGTTCTCAGACTCCATTTATCCATGGCCCACATGAGGTCCAGTCTGGGTGAGGCTGGGCTGCAGGGGTATATTTATCACGTGTTTGTGCAAAACATTGGAGCAAATGGATCAATGTACACAGAGATAGAAGGAAACCAAACCACCTCCAATTCACTACACCCTCTCATTCTTTAACATTAACAGAGACGAAAACAATGACGAAGAATGTATGTATTTATTTAACCAGGAAAGTCCCATTGAGATTAAGAACCTCTGTTTAAAGGGAGTCCTGGAATAAAGAATCAAGAATTTGTGGGGGTTTTTCATAGTACATTGTTTGTATCTGACTAATCTAATCTAACTGATTAAGGTTGACCAAATAACTACTTTTATTGAATAGTGTTTGAGGCCACTGCCAAAGATTATATAAATGGACAATGTTAACAAAATAGCTCAATGAAGCCCAATAAGAAAGTGCTCAGGTTTCTCCTATGGACACACATCGACAAATTGACCTATATATTTTTTCCTATATATATATATATATTACCATTTTCTTTGTAAATCCATCTGCGCCATGTCAGGGTTGACCAGTCCGATGCCTTAATTTGCAGAGGAAAGTCTAGCTTGCCTTAGCAACCATCTTAGCAATGTGTTTACAATCGTTACTATAAAAAAGCTTATGTCAGGAAATCGGCTTCAGCTAGCTCATTTTCAAATCAATTTCTTTAGCATCAAAGCAAACACAAGGGTTAACGTCTGTACTCTGTCCGTCCACTTCAATCTACGGTCTATGGAGCAGCTCTGTCTCACCTCAGATTTTATCTGGAATGTTGCCTTTATAGAGACAGTTCAATGTCAAACCTTTGAATGTTTCGACTTATCATATATCATATATATAATATAATATTTTAATATATATTATATTAATATATATATTATTATTATAGTATCTTTAAAAAATATTCCGCATATATTCAGTCACTTGAGTCACGTCCATAAGGATTCTTCAGAGTGAGCAGAACAGCTGTACTGAAGAGTGAAAACTTTTGTACTTTATGCTCAGAATAGGACACTCAACACCAAACCGCCACCGCTTTACAACAGTTTAAGACAGAAAAAAACAATGCTTTTTGTTTAACCACATGATTTTCTTTTTGAAACCACCTGTTCTTGTCCTTCCTTTATGCACAAACCTGCTCTACCTCTACTACAGCAGTACAGCAGTGTCTAAAACAATCACTAGATTGCATTTTATTTTGGGTTTAATGCAAAATGTAAAAGTTTGAGACTTCCTTCAATAGACCTCATGACAATCCTTGTTTAAATGAATGAGTAGAAAGACTTCAACGAGAGAAAGGGCTACTGCTCAAAGATTAGCATTTGGCAATATACATGATGGTTTAAACTACAACCAGGCAACGCTTTATAAGGTGATAAAGGGCACTTAACAGATGCCCATTAAACTCAAGCCAAGGCCAGAAGATTTAGGCGTTTTAAGCAACAGATGTCTCAGAATTATTTGCCTATTCAGTTGAGTAGATGCTGGAGGGGAAGCCATTATCCAGCCGAGAATAACACTGGCATTATCCATATCCAACCAAATTAAGACCAGCTAAAACAACTAATGGATAAATAATCTTGATTTCAGATCAGAAAACAATATATCTCATTAATATCTAGATCAGAAATTATGTCATTCCTAGAGTGGATTATCTTAAAAATGTGCACCTGAGTTTACAGTGAACCCATGACACAGCTTAAAGCTCAGCTCACTCTCTACGGCCAAGAAATGATAGAATCAAACAAGAGGTCTGAACGAAGACTGGACAGCCCCCACAGACAGAAACGTAGACAAGAAATCCTGCCAATGGAGATTCTAAATAGTCATATATAATAATTTCTATTGGGTAATTTTTTTAATTGGATTACATGAAACATTATTCCCTTAGATATATAGATCAAATTCATTACTCAGTAAATCAGTGAATGGAAGCAGTGACCTGTGACAGTAGTGATAGCGATAGCACCGGTAGCTCACGTCTGTAGACACTCTTGGTATCGGAGCTCAGTGACCAGAGCAGCCGGTTAATCCCAGTCTGATATCTGATCAAGTCTAAAATGTCAGCGTTTAATCCTGGGTTACACTCAGGTCTGCAGGGGCTAAATCCAGTTTATTACTGACAACTGTTAATGTTTAATAAACAAGGAGTTTAAAAGACATCCTTTTCATATATACAGGGATATTTCTTTCCATAATGAAGAATGAATTAAATCAGGACAGGCTTAAGTGATGCTTCATGGTCCACCATTTATAGGACCATTTATAGGACCATGGTTGAAGAACTAGAGCTGATAACTGCACCAGCTTACTTTCCCCAGATGGCTTACATCTGACTCAAACTAATGATATGAAGTCAATGATATTTCTTTGGGGGTTCACAATGAACTGATTATGAGAAGACACATTACTCTCACCAGTGAAAGTTGTGGTGCATCATGTGTCAATGGATGTGAACTGTGTAATGTGGTTACATTACACACCCATCTTCACCCAGGCATTAGTCATTGAACCGTCATATGGACATCATCGAGAATACATCAGTTGAGTTTGTCTGCTAGATTCCCATGTTATGCAATGGAGACTGTATGGACACACTCACAGATTGTATGTGCAAACAGGAGCACAATTACAAACTCTGATTTGCACTAAACTTGACTCAGTTGTTCAACTCCTGGGCCTGGGTCACATGACAGTGTGAACAATGCCATTGGCCCATTAGCGCCCCCTACAGGCTGAGTACAAGTTTTACATGGGGAAACAGGTATTTTGTTTTTCGGTTGCACAAAACCTTAAAATGCAACAAGTTTTGTTCTGGCAAAAAAGGTATTATTTTCGTGTTCTTTGGTAAAGGACAAAAAAAATTGAATTTGTAGGGGGCGCTATTGTGCAAAGTAAATGCCCTCCGTTTGTCCATGGCAAAATCAAAGACACACAATCACTCATCATAGGCATTCAAAATACACAGTGTCGCTCCCGTCAGGGCTGTAGGAAGATGGCGTCAGCGCCACCTCCTTTGCGCGGTGCGGCGAGGGCCGCTTGACGCCACTTGCAGCTTTCATTTCAATTTCCATCCATTTTCTACCCCTTAATCCATTTCTGGGTCGGGGGGGTGGCCAGAAATACACAGAGCACCAGCCCCTCACTGATCCTCCTGCAGGTGATAAATCCACAGGAGCCTTGATCTTTCAGCGAGGGCTTCAGGCAAAGTGGGGTTAAGTGTCTTGCCCAAGGACACAATGACAGCAGTCATCAGTGGGAGTCGGTGCAGAAGGTCTCATGGAGGGCTCGAACCCACAACCTTAAGGCTCAAAGGCCAATGCTCTAGCAACTGAGCCATCGTCAATTTATTTTTGTTAAAACTGTACTGGCATTCCCCTGATTTAATGTTCAATGTATAGTGACATAAAGTAGTTTCAAATGTTGTTTATTGAGTTAAATGCCTTACTGCGCTTCACAATACATAATCTTTGTAAATCATAATGACTTCTGTGATTTCGACCCGGTCTCCTCTGCTTGTGTATAATGTATGTGGCCTGTAATCAGATATCTGGACCATTGAACCAGTGAACGGCTCTGCACATGGTATGATAAAGTGTAATGCCTCAGGTGATCTCTTTATGCAGCTCTGGACAGAGTTATGCCCGGTCATCACATTATTGCCTTCTGCACCTCAGCGGTCTCACAAAAGCTTGAGTTAACCTTTGTACACCACTCAAACAACAACAGTATGCTTTATGTATACAACATTTTGTAGGAGGTGTCCAGGCAGTACTGGGCAGAGTAATGCTTTAAAAATAAAAACATTTTTGGCCTTGCACAATCACTGGATCTTTGTGCAAGTATAATGGTGCAAAATACACAACATTTGAAAGTTTGGATTTTGAGAGGGAATTATAAAAGAATTTCCAAAAATCTAAATTTGAATTATGATGTTTTCAAACATTAAAGTTTGTTTTATGTATTATCATTTATTCGTTACCAAAATCAAATATTTGCGCTGAAAGCGGAAAAATCGCAACGTTTTTTTTTTAAAACAAGCATCAAGTTTGAATTGTCATGAGCCAGGATAACAAAATCACAACTGGCAACCATCGTTACAGCATTACATTCTACAGGCTAAACATTTGCAATCCCATTGGTTTCATTGGTTGCACCGTTGTAGAGTAGCATCAAGACGATTGGTCAATCATTCTGGTGATATTGCTCGTCAAATAAGACCAGAGAGTTTTGTTCAAAAAGTGGCAGTTCTTTCATAAATTTTGGGAAAATCCTCCTTTATACCTTTAAGGTACTTTATTGTCCCTGTAGCGAAATGTGTCCTGTGTTCCTGTCAAGAGAAGTGGGCCCTATATAAATATACAGTGCGAAAGTATTCGGCCCCCTTGAACCTATCAACATTTCGCCACATTTCAGGCTTCAAACATAAAGATATAGAATTTTATTTTTTTGTCATGAATCAACAACAAGCGGGACACAATTGTGAAGTGGAACAAAATTTATTGGATAATTTAAACTTTTTTAACAAATAAAAAACTGAAAAGTGGGGCGTGCAATATTATTCGGCCCCTTTACTTTCAGTGCAGCAAACTCACTCCAGAAGTTCAGTGAGGATCTTTGAATGATCCAATGTTGTCCTAAATGACTGATGATGATAAATAGAATGCACCTGTGTGTAATCAAGTCTCCGTATAAATGCACCTGCTCTTTGATAGTCTCAGGGTTCTGTTTAAAGCGCAGAGAGAACCATGAAGACAAAGGAACACACCAGGCAGGTCCAAGATACTGTTGTGGAGAAGTTAAAAGCCGGATTTGGATACAAAAAGATTTCCCAAGCTTTAAACATCTCGAGGAGCATTGTGCAAGCAATTATATTGAAATGGAAGGAGTATCAGACCACTGCAAATCTACCAAGACCCGGATAGTCCCACCTCAGCTGCAGATAACTACAGCTGAGGTGGGAGAGTCTGTCCATAGGACAACAATCAGTCGTGCACTGCACAAATCTGGCCTTTATGGACGAGTGGCAAGAAGAAAGCCATTTCTCAAAGATATCCATAAAAAGTCTCGTTTAAAGTTTGCCACAAGCCACCTGGGAGACACACCAAACATGTGGAAGAAGGTGCTCTGGTCAGATTAAACCAAAATCGAACTTTTTGGCCACAATGCAAAACGATATGTTTGGCGTAAAAGCAACACAGCTCATCACCCTGAACACACCATCCCCACTGTCAAACATGGTGGTGGCAGCATCATGCTTTGGGCCTGCTTTTCTTCAGCAGGGACAGGGAAGATGGCTAAAATTGATGGGAAGATGGATGGAGCCAAATACAGGATCATTCTGGAAGAAAACCTGTTGGAGTCTGCAAAAGACCTGAGACTGGGACGGAGATTTATCTTCCAACAGGACAATGATCCAAAACATAAAGCCAAATCTACAATGGAATGGTTCACAAATAGACGTATCCAGGTGTTAGAATGGCCAAGTCAAAGTCCAGACCTGAATCCAATCGAGAATCTGTGGAAAGAGCTGAAGACTGCTGTTCACAAACGCTCTCCATCCAACCTCACTTAGCTCGAGCTGTTTTGCAAGGAAGAATGGGAAAGAATTCCAGTCTCTCGATGTGCAAAACTGATATTGACATACCCCAAGTGACTTGCAGCTGTAATTGCAGCAAAAGGTGGCGCTACAAAGTACCTGCCCAAATATGGGCATCGGCCCTTTGGGCATTGCCCGGTACGGCCGATGGCCAGTCCAGCCCTGTTCGCTGGCATCCTTGAGCTTGGACTCAGGCCCGTCCCAAGGGGGGTGCGAGGCCCTGTGCGAACTCGAAACGCGAGGCCCTGCCCTGACACTTTTTTCCCAGATCTGAGGAAAGTTTTTCCTGTTATAATCTTTGACATGAATTCAGCACCACCTCGCGCGGTGCGTGAAGAGATCAGCACGCGTGTAACCGAGTGTCTTCGCTCCTATGCAGCGTTTGGCGCGCGCACGTACACACGCACACACACTCTACGGCACTTGGTATTGCAATATTGGTCGCGGTCTTTTTAGCTGACATGTCTCTTTCGTCCTGTGGCAAAATGGCAGAGCAACTCAAAAGATTGAACCAAAAGGAGTCTTTTTCTTCTAATAGTTAGATTTGGGCAAAATGCGCCAAAATGGCTATGAGGCGGAGTCAATATTATTATTTTCTCATCAAATAACGTTTTTGCCATGCCTCCACACACTCTGACAACATACACTCCTCCTCCTCCACACTGACAACAACAAAATACTCTTCACCTCCTCCTCCACACACTCTGACCACAACAAAAACACTCCAGCTAGCTAAAGCTAGACATACAGTGTGTTTGCTAATGCTTTTAAAAATATGTTTTTGATGTGGATATTCGGACTAAACATTGGCAATAGCAGCGCTCACACACCTGTCACACCGCTGATCCTCCTCCTCCTCCTCTGCTCACACAAAGGGGTCTGCTCCTCTGCTCACACCTGTATCGCTGCTCCTCCTCCGCGAGTATCCATCTCTCCTACACTGCGATCATTCCCGTTACTTTCTTTGTATCTCACTCAGACACTGCTAAAGTTATCTGACAGTTTTTTCGGAGGACCCGTTGCATACATAGCTGCCCGCGCGCCTGCCTGTTTACAAATCGCTTTTGGTGAAAATTTGACTTTACTTGTAAAAATGTTCTTTTGATCAAACGAAATCAAAGAGGTCCAGAGAAAGGGGTTTAGGGTTCCAAATTTGGAGTGCAGTCTGCCCTTTGGGGACCCTTGAACTAGTGTATTTATAAAATAAAATAAAAGGAAGGAAGATTGCGAGGCCCCTGTGTGGTGCGAGGCCCTGTGCGACGGCACAGGTCGCACAGCCCTTAGGACGGGCCTGCTTGGACTACAAATTCAAAGTGATGTACAGAAGAGGAGGGCTGGGCCGAAGTGTTTTGTTAGACGCCCATGCCCTTATATAGCAGTCTCGCTGCAAATACTGTGACGTAATAATTCTAAACACGTAATAGAGAATGGCAAAATCAGAACGGGTTGAAAAATCTTACCTAAACAGAATATGAAGTGTTCTCTGCAACCCATGAAGAGACTGATTTCAACTTTTTTGCACTTCTAGAGGCTCCAACTACACAACATAAGGCATTTAAGGCACAAAAAGTGGATTTTTCATGATATGTCCCCTTTAATACATAATGGCCCTTACATATTGCTCCTTTAATATCTAGTCTCATAGTTTTGGTAGCTCAATTGATAGAGAATTTTTAAAGACAGGGGATTTCTGGAATTTTGTTGTTGTTGAAACTTACTAACCCTAGCCCCCAGAGTTTTAAGTGTTATCCCTTTTGTTATTCACACCATCTTTTACGTTATTTCCAGGTTCCCTCTCTTCACGGCGGTCTACCAGATCTGCTTCAACGCCCATCCAGTCA